ATTCTACGAGATGGAATTGTACGTGAGATGCAACAGCGGACATACACGCCAAGTCGAGATCCAATCCTTTGGACGACCCCTGTACTCTGAGCAGCAGAAAGAGCCTCACCACGACGAACCGGACTATGATCTTCCAACGGAATCCATTCCACCAAGTCCGCATCCGTCAAGGTCAGATGCGCCTCATGAAGATGAAGGCACAGCTCGCTCAAATCTGGGAAATCCCAGTCAAACCCTTCGGGGAGAATGCACGTCCACATGGCATGCATCGACGACGTCATCCTTGACGACGAGGAGTCAGAAGCAGCACTAACCCATGTGCCAGCAGGAAGAGATGCACTGTTGATCCTTGCATTCCTCAAGGACCAGGACTATGGCATCCGACTCTGTGAAGAGCGACCATGGAACCCTCCGGGGAGAGATCAGTCAAGCCAAAGGTCATTGTGGAATATCACAATTCAGAGAACCTAGACGAGTTCATCCAGGAACTCAAGGGAATCTATCCCGAAATAGAACTGAACAAAAAGGACGCCGAGGAAGAGCTCGCGGAGACCAAGGTGAACCTCCTCCGCTTCATGGAAATGTACAACAAAGATCCAAGAAGAGCTCATCCCAAATTGACAGAGTGCGAGAGAGCCTCATTGGCACATGTCGATCCCGATGTCAACCTCGGAGAAGAAGAATTCTACTTCCGTCATCGAGGAGAATGTCCCACCATGGACGAGTACAGGCAGGCACAACCAGTATCCGGCTATCCTATCAAGCTTCCACTTGGAGTGAAGAAGCTTAGGTCACATGATGACTCGGAAATCATCCGAGCATATGCCGATATCCTGGGATCGCTGATGCAGCCGACAGACCGTCGACAGACCGTCCTCCGGTGACTATCTCAAGACGCATGCGTTCACTTCATCCATAGCGATCAACATGCTTACCTTGAACCATGGAAACCTCACGAGGAATCCAAAGCTGGACAACAGGGAAGTGTATAACATGCCGATGAAGGATCGACCAATCGTGAAGATGATGATGCAAAACAGTGCACACATCTTATGCCTGAATGAAGCAGACGCATTCTTCAGTCCTAATGATGAGAAATCCAGGGAACTCACCAAGACGTTCATCCGATTCGGGTACAAGGGCATCGTGATCAAGAAATGGTCACGGCGGCGGACCTACTGCAAGAGCGGAACTACTGGCAAGACATATTTCCACCAAGAGTCAGAATTGGGGAACCACGTTCGGAATGTTCAGATGTTTCTTTGGCACCGAAGAAAGTTGCACTGATCCTGAATACGAAATTCCGACCTCGGATTGCTTGGCAACTACGGGACCATCCATGTTCACTGAATCCAAGAAGTACATTGGACCCAGATTGCCAGCACGCACCATTGTCCAAGGACATGGCCGAGACAAAGAGATTGTCGTTCTCCATATCGAGCAGAGTGATGAGTTTCGTGGCATGCTTCCGAAATCAACCAACAAATCACTCCTCGAGTATGACAACCGCAACGTTACGAGGGCAGACCTCCCATTTGCTACCATTGGAGTTTTCCACACTCATCCGTCAATTAGCCATGGAGCAGCACGGGAAGATCTTCAGAATGAAATCATGCCTCTCGTGACTTTGTACCGATGCGATGCGATCACCGGAGACGCGAATAAGTCCGCGAATACCTATAGCAAACTCCAGCACGTTTTCAATCCGGCCAACGGTCTCGTGAACATCCTCATGAAGGCGTATCAGAGACTGTGGAATGAAACGAAGAATTTGCCACTCGTGGACAGAATGGAGTATGCAATGGAGACTTCGTGCACCCTAAAATCCATTGTCCGTCATCACCTGTACATGAAGTGTGGATCTGGATATGATCGAACATTCCCCGATGTGATGATGACTTTCGTGTTTGGGTGGGGCAAAACGAATATCGAGCAGGCTTTCCGGAATGAGGAGATGAACGCCATGGATGATGAACAACTGGAAACCATGCGGAACAATCCAACAAAAGCCATATTCGATTACCAGGTCTCATCCGCAGAGCGCTTCAAGCACGTGAACAATGACATGTTCATGAATGGCTCACAGGACTCCGACTCGCACAGTCCCCTCATGGTTTACATCCGCAGCAAATCTGCAACCAGGCAACGCAACTTTGAGAGATCCAAGGAGTACCTCAAGAAGAAGCAATCCTGGACCCCGCAGGAGTACAAGGACTACAACAAGCAGCGGGGACAGCAGAAGCAGTGGAAGGACTATAGCGAATCGACCTGGAATGATTATGGAGACTACGGCAGTCAATCCGACAGCAGCCGCCGGTGGTATCGTCGATCCGACTGACCAGGAAGATTTATACGTTCATCACTACGAGCTCAATTCAGGTTGATCCTCACCGCCTACAAGACTATACAGTGAGAGATTAATAGTTTCACATTCGTCCCGCGTGCACATAGTGTTGTACATCACCTTTTAATACATCTAGGTATCTCACAGAAGCAGTACATAGTGTTTTCCCATTTCGCAAGTCAAAACATTTCATCCGAGCAGAAAAGAGGATGAATCCGGCATTTTAATACACATGGCTACGGCATACAGCAAGGCTGGCCAAAGGCCATGAAGCCAATAGTATTTCATATCTAGTGCTGGAGATCAAAAGAAATTTGTGTCTGTTTTGTGTTTGGTTTGTTACACAATTGATCTCCCGCAACCATTTGGCTCAAGGCCCTTCTGTATCATAGCAATACTCATGATTGCGTGACAAAGGAACCTTTGCAGGCCGCTTACAGGATTATCCACAATCTAATCCACCAGGGACAATCCATCCTCCAATCATCCATAGTGGCATATTGGATCTCTCTCCGGAAGAGATCCAGGGACCAAATCAACGACCTCTACTACCACAAAGGGTACCAGTTCCCTTCGGGGATGGGCACCCCGGCAGCGGGCCTCACCTCCCCCCCCCCCCCCCGCGGTCTATCAGCCAGAGGCTGTCACGGTCTACCTCTGGCGGCGCCGAAGCTTGGCGCTGAAGGCGCAGCCGGAGAAGGCGACGCGGTCTTGAGTTGGCGGATGGGGCCTCACTTTCTGAGTTCCTGGACTTCCATGTGCTAGTTCCCGCAAGGTTCTGGTGCTTTCCCATATTCTCCCCTGTTGGTTTTAAAGGGAATCGATTTCACTACCGGAAATATTCATGATTTTTTTAAAGGGGGCGCAAGCAAATGGAAGCAGGGACTTTAGATTTTTGGGGTTTGCACCATTAATGGTGGTAAGTTAAGAACGGTTTCAGGACTTGTTGTTGGCCCATCCCCTCGATCGGAAGTGAGCAGGGAATGAGAATTGGAATGCCGCCGAGATAACCCATTCCCGATTTGGTTTCCTTTATTCGGGAATCCCCAAAACTGGTTCATTCATTCCCAACACCCGGACTCGGACAGTTTTTACCCACCTATCACTGAAGCAATTCAAAGGTGCGGTCCAAAAGATTCCTTGGGCTGTGGTCATGGGCCCCTTTGCGATCTTGGGCAGCCCTAAAGGGTACCTGGATATTGGCTACCCCAGCTGACAAAGTCAAGAACTACATATTCATATATGGGCAGAGCTTATGGCCATGGGTCAAAATCCCGTACCCCCAAGTCCCCGCTAAAAGAGACTAAAATGGGTGGTGCACCTACCCCAAAATGGTACCATTGGTTTTGACCCACAGCCATATGGGCAGAGTGTTTGTTTGTGTCTTTGTCAGAGTATTTAGGGAGGAACTCTCTTCATGCCGCGGAAGCGCCGCGTGGGAATTTCTGGCGGGGAAAACGATGGCGTAGGCGGTCCCGTGTTTCGCCTTAATTGCTCAAACTTAAACGTAGCGCTCGAGAAACGTCTGCGTAGGCTGAGTCCACCCTTGCTGTTATGTTACACCTCCGCAGAGGCTTCATGTAGGCGGCGGCCAGTCAGTGTTTTTTTTTGTTGGGGGCCGATGCACCCAAACAAAATGTTCTCATGTGCGCAAGGGGGTACGTGCCTTGGACATGTTCTCGTCGGCATGTGGCAGCACTCGAGATGCCTCATTCGGCCCGCTCCTTTTGGCCCACTGGCGAGCGTGCCAGGAGAGACATGGGCGAATTTCAAGCAGGAATTCCCTACATGGTTGGTAGATATGAACCCCACGTACATGACGTCCACAGGGTCGCTAGTGAAAATGTATGTCAGTAGAAGCTACGCCCAAAAAGGTATCTCTCAGAACCCTGGACGTTGACAACCACGCTGGGTGTCTTCACGGCAGTTGGGTTGGAGAGACCTGCCACTAAGCTGCAAATGTCTATTGGCGTTATGTTGGAAGTACCTTTAAGAGCAAACTGACCCCCTTTTGACCCTGTGGACTTATGTATGCGGACTTACACACTTTTGGCAGTGAGCATTCCCATTGAACCAGATCCCACAAATCATGCGGACGTTTCCAGGTTGTCCCTTCTTTTGCCTTTTCGGGCAAGCCCCAAAAAGGGTACCCTCCAATTATGGAAGCTGGAGATCGGGTTCTGTCAGACGTGTTTTCCTGTCGAAGAACCCCTTGTCCACTTCCATGCTTGGAAAGAGCATAGGTGTCCTTCTTAGGTTAGTGTGGTTAGAAATTGATGTCACTGGTCTAGATGTGGTTGTTCATTTACCAGGGCCATCTATTTGTCCCAAAGGTTACTGTCGGAAAGAGGGTATCTTCAACGACGCAGCGATGGGATCTTTTGGCGCCATGGGCACTCGGATCGATCCAGTGCTAAGGCGGGAAAGCAGACGGCGTGCAAAGAAATCATGAGAGGCCACAGTTAAAATGGGATTGCGGGGCTGTTGGTGGACTGCATTGCACTGCTGCAGCTTGAGTTGACTTTGGTGTATTTTGCTTGGATGTTAGGACTTTAACTTTTTGCCAACTCATGGGTTTTCCCCATTAAACCACCACAAGTTAGCCACTTTTAGCAGGGGAGCAGAGTTTGCAAGCGAGTTGAAATGCCCAGCCTTGAGACTGCCGTTAGTGCTCAAGATCCCAGTTTTGGATTTACACCTCGCCTTTGGTCAGGCGAGCAGCTGCAAGAGGGAGAGAGAAGAGAGGGAGAGACGTGCTTCGTACCACTTCCCGGCGGATGCTTCTCAGTGGGCAAGCAGCTTGTTGTCCTTGTTGAAAGGGGGGGGGTTGGGGGGGGCTTGGGAGGGTTTGGAGGTTTTTTTTTTTTGGGGGGGGGGGTTGGGGCACGTGTGGGCGGATCTAAAATTAGGAGCGATACGTATAGAGAGAGAGAACGAGAGCGGCTACAGCATGGCGAAGAAATCTGATAAGACAGAGGGGCGGTCGACTCGGATGTTGAGAACAATTAGTGCACCGAGTGGATCCCAGGAATTGTTTCGCCACTTTCTGGTAGGTAACCGGCCGCGATCCATTTATTTTTGGTTTTATATCGCGGGTGGGCGGGTGGTTATTTGGGTTACAAAACCAGAGAAATAGAATTGCTGGGCAAGACGCAAAGCGGTATTGTTGTTTGTTGTCAATGGTACTGATCTCTTTCCCGGCGACATAAACAAGGCATCCCTAGATGCCAAATCTTTGGCTACGAGACAACGTATTTTGGGATATGTTGGGTCTGTCTCCAAATAGTCAACCGTCCCATATGCAAGACAATTGAAACAGGGAGCTGTCCAAAATCAGTGGCTTCAGAATATGTGATTCCCCCTCTTGGCTTCAAAGGGAATCTATCACTACTGGAGTTGCTTTATTTCTTTTGCAGGGGGCTACAGCAAATGGAAGTTGAGCGCCGTTTCACCAACCGAGGTCATGAGGAGATTGAACCTCCGGCCGCGGGTCACCGTTCGCCGTGACGACCGGCGGACCTTTGGCGAGAGTTTCGGCCTCTCGGCCCAGTTGGGTAAGAAGAAGTCTGGCCCTAGCGGTACCTTCCAATTCCATTACTGTATTGCCAGAAGTACTTCTTCATAGGAAACCTCCGGAAACCCAAAAAGAAGCAGCAGTTGTTTTTTTCTGTTTAAATAACGATGGTTAAAAATAATGGGGAATCATCCTCTAGAATAGCTCCAGCCAACTAGAGAAACTCACCTAAGGCTCCCGTACCCCACACCCCAAGAAGGGTTCTTACAGGATCTCTTACAAGGGTTCTGCGAACCTCTCTGGGCTGAGCTGTCCTCGGATTTCCTGCGAAATGGCTTCAACTTTTAGCGGGTTGAATGGAAACCCAACCGCTAAGCCAACCTAGAGAAACTCACCTAAGGCTCCTGTACCCCATACCCCAAGAAGGGTTCTTAGCACGAACCTTCTTAGGATCTCTTACAAGGGTTCTGCGAACCTCTCTGGGCTGAGCTGTCCTCAGATTTCCTGCTAAATGGTTTCAACTTTTAGCGGGTTGAATGGAAACCCAACCGCTAAGCCAACTAGAGAAACTAACCTGAGGCTCCCGTACCCCATACCCCAAGAAGGGTTCTTAGCACGAACCTTCTTAGGATCTCTTACAAGGGTTCTGCGAACCTCTCTGGGCTGAGCTGTCCTCGGATTTCCTGCTACATGGTTTCAACTTTTAGCGGGTTGAATGGAAACCCAACCGCTAAGCCAACTAGAGAAACTAACCTAAGGCTCCGGTACCCCATACCCCATCTCTGAGCTCTCCCGTGTGAAAAAAACTTGGCATGAGGCATGATGGCGTGCCGCTCCATCGAGGATGTGCTCGCAGAGCTCGGCGCCTTGGATTGTGCGACTCTCCGATTGGTATGCCCAGGTGAGCCACGTGCTCAAAACCTGGGTAGATGAAGGTTAAGGGGTCCTTTCAGATGCTCCGGCATCTTGTTCTGACCAATCTGCAGAAGTGAGCTGCGCAAACAGAGCGTGTACTTGCATTTCCAACTGGTGGACGAGTGAGAGGCAAAGAAACCTCCTTAGTCATTTGAGGGGGTTCTACAGCCTGGCCTCAGGCATTTTGTTTCAGTCAGGCCTCTTGTTGACTCCATATTCATTAAACAAAAAAACCGTTTTATTAATAGCGGGTGGCCAACTGGTTTCAGGGGCGATTTATCACTTTTGGAGGGGAACACACCCATATTAATAAACAGGGGTTGAGTAATCTGGGGTCAGCAATATACAAATTTTGTTCAGCCATAGAGCCAATCGGCAGGGGAGTCGGTGGCAGTGAGGCTCTGACTCTGCTGACAATCGAAAAGGGAAGACAGGCTCGCCGAATTGGTCGGACGACGTGGGTTGATTGGAGTTTGTGTCCATTTCAGCTTGCCCCAATCAGAATTCGGACCCTCTGGAGGGGTCGACCCGGATCTCCATTGGATGGTTTTGGACCGCCGTTTTGAGGGCCCAAGATTAATTCTTCGCGTTGCTTATCAGGTCACCCTTTGATTTGGTTGGTTTGATTGAATTGGAAGCCCTGGTTCTTGAATAATTAGGAAACCACCCCTAGCCTATCCAAACCACTTCGAGGGAAGCTAGAAAAACCAAGAGAGTCATTTACCGAGTCCCGGTCCAAATCCCTAGCCGTGAGGTTCTTGTTAGAATAATTTAAATATGTTGTTTTGCCAAGGTTATTATCAGTCAAGTTCTTGTCAATTAGCAACTCCTGTCATACCCAGGTTATGGTTAATACCCAGGGGCCCGTTTTTTTTTCTTTTTTTTCCTGTTTTTTATTTTTTGTTTTTTTATCGAAGTTGTCAGGGTGATGCAAATGAGTCACGTCTTTTCAAGCGCAGCCGTTCGCTGTGCCATTCTGCTGATTCATATGGGGATGACATACAAGCAAATTCAAAGGGCTGCAAAACTGCACACATGACTGTCCTGTGAGAATCACTGCGACCTTCAGGTGGTCGTTCAACAAAAGTATCTACAACCCCAGTCTAATGTATTGAGCGGCCCTTATGGCATCGCAGTTGACTTAACCATCCTGTTTCCCGTTACGCAATTGCATTTGCCCTTTGGATATTTTGTTCAGATCCCTTTTCGCAAGACCAGAGTTATTTTTTTGTTTTGGGGGGAGGGCGGGGAGTCTGACCCAACCCTTGCGGAACAACTGTTAAAACAACAATTGTTTTGCACCCCTACCAAGCACGGAAGAACCACCGCAGTTTAAGCAACATCCCGGACCAGTGGGGAAACCACTGTATTTTAAATCAGCTCCTCGTGTTTGCTTGCTGGTGCGATAAGTAGGGAATGAGAAATGGAATGCACCTGCGGATTCCCGAATAAAGGAAAGCACCAGTTGGATGGTTTAATTCGGGTTCTGACTCCATTTCTCATTCCCTGAAGATCTAAACCCCCCCATTTTTACAGGGATTCCCTTAAAGCAAACCACCAGTTAGTTCAGGCTCCATTTCTTATTCCCTGAAGATCTCAACACCATGTTTGCGGGGCTTGAAGATCTCAACACCCATTTTTGCAGGGAAGACCAACCCGGTTGGCTTTTGGACCTGGACAGGAGGCGCTCGTGCGAAGCTGCTGGAGGCCTTTGTGAGCCCAGTACCCTTGGGGTTGCTGAAATGAGTAGTGTTTTTCCCCCATTTATTTATTATTATTATTATTATTATTATTATTATTATTAATATTATAATATATATATATACAAAAATGTTTCCCTTGTTGGTGTTCACTGGTTTTTCTAAATATATATATATATATATATATGTATATATATATATATATATATTGTTTTTTCTTACTTTCCCTTGTTGGTGTTCAAAGGATTTGTTTTTTTTATCACTAACTGGACATATTTTTATTTTTCCCAGGGATCTTGACCAGATGGAAGGTACCCTTGGAGTTTCTTCCAGTCAACGACACCTACGGATCGACCCGTGGGCAGCGCACGGCGTACTACAAGACCTTTGGCAGAGTCAGGGCTCCTTAAAAGATACATTTTGCAACCATTTGAAACATGTTTTTTTCCACCAAAGTAAAGAGAAACCACCATTTACAAGGCAATGTTCAGGTGTACAATGTAAGAATCCCCGCAGAGTCATGGAATCTGTGCATAGGTGTCCTTTTTGGTTGGTTTGGTTGAAATTCCTGGTTGACCTGGTGATTCAACCAACTACCAGGGCCATCTATTTTCCTAAAAAGGACACCTATGGGTGTGCGCGTGTGTGTCTCAAAAAAAGGGGGAAATCCTCGAAAAAGTATGTGTCCTTTGGGTTTTCCTTGAAGGTGTCCTTTCAGTTTCATTCCGGTGTCCTTTTCCAGCAAGACACTTGTAATTTAATCAACTCTTCACACTGCCCCGCACAACAAACATAAACAAAGATAACCATGGTTCGTGTATGTGCCTATCTTTATGCAACCAATACTCCGTACCAAACATGCAGAAATATGGGGGTGTTTGGGAGCCTCGAAATCATTGTTTTCCTCTTAAAGCAATCCAAAAGGGTTCCCCCCTAAAAAAAGGAGATCACAGGGGGCACGATATATATTTGGGTTGGCCATCCTGCTCAAAGAACATGAGCCACCAAGATCCCAAGGCCCATGATTTAACTTCATAGCACGCTTTTGTGACATCTTCTCTCCCGGTGAGTTGCTCAACTCCCCGCCCTGCTTGTTCAAAGCAAGATATGCCTTTTTTATGTGACACCGCAGGGTGGTTCCTGAAGATTTGTTGAGCCGAACCAATATGGAAGCCGATTTTTGAGCCAGGCTCCTTTGGTTCAGCCGCAAACCCCCCTGAGGCACACACCCACTTCAGCTCTGGAACCTGCTCTGGGCTTTGTGGAGGCCCCTTGCTGGGTGTTCAAGTGGAGAGCCAAAGGAAGATCGGCATTCTTGAGGGTCCAAATCCCACAAGAAATACACCCAGGTGCGACGGTCCAAACCCAAGTCCTTCAAACAATCACCCAGGACCATGCAAGCCAACCTCCTGGCCGAAGCAGCTGCCGCCTTCAAAAGTGGCGGGCAAAGACTCCTTCTGAACGGCCGGAGACAAGGCACGCCTCCAAGGGCGAATGAGTAACTGACAACCCAGCCAGTGACATAGTTTTTGTTGTTTTGTTCTTGGGTGGGACCCAGAATTCATCTACCGCAAAACAGGTGCCATTGCTTGTAGCGTAGCTTAGGGGAATTGGCTGCAATTTAGAGCTCAGCAGGCTGAAGTGTCGGGGGAATAAGACACGGTCTAACTCTGGACTGGATTCCATGGAAAAACCCGAGACGTGGATTCACTCTGAAGAGCCCTTCACAAAGACCACAGACCTCGCACGTGTTTTTTGCCTCTCAAATCAATTTCGCTCTTCGAGGTCCAGGAAGACTGGCGGCAAGAAATAGGTATGGGTCAAAAGTAAACCACCAGAAAACCGCAGGTTTTAGTCCATGGTTCCACTTACTAGGGTTCGATTTGGGGGTACCTATTTTTGACCCACAGCCAAATCCCCCCTGGAAAGTCGGCAGAAAGATGTGTAAAAAGCAGCGGCGCAGGTGCTCACCTGCCAAGAGGCCGCTTCTGCATGTCATCCTGAGGTTTATGCTGTGGGCAAAGGTCCAAAGAGGGCTTCCCCCAAACCCGATTCCCAACCCCCCAAACAATACATGTGCAATGTTCCTTTGGGTTTCCCTTGGGCACCAAGCCCAAGAAGGCGCTTCTGTGGTCGTCCAGGCACGCCGGGCGTGAATGCGCGACTTCTGGTGTCTCTACCGCCGGAGCGCCGGGCGAATGCCGAGCAACTCATCTCGATGTTGGGCACAAAAGCCTCTCACACACTTTCAGGAGATCTATGGTGCATTTCGGGGTCTATGGTTCATTTGGGAGGGACCTGGACGCACTGAAATTCCGAAAAGCCAGATATTTTAACCGTGGCTCATCTGGCAGAAATCGCAATCCGTCATTTTCTGAGTCCTTTTGGTTGCATGAAGAGGTCCTTTGTTTCCAACCGATCTTGAAATGCCCACCTTCATGGGTAAAACGGGCGCCTTTGTTCTGCCCGCTTGCTGCCTCTTCTTGACTTCCATTTGCTTAAGAATATCAAGCTGATCCTCTACGTACTACGAAAGAAGGAATTCACAATGGAAAACCAGGTTTTCAAAAAATACCCGCAAAAAAGGCGGGTATTTGGAGTAGGGGGTATGTTTTCTTTTCCCTGTTGGCCGTGGGGGGAATCTACCACTACTACTGGAGTTGTTTGTTCCCCAGAGGATTTAAGTAAATGGAGGTTGAGTGACTGTTCCAACATCTGAATGGGAGCTCCTTCGGAGCTTGGGGGGTAATTCTGAGGTTTGTTCACAAGAGAATCGCCTTGGGAACACCCCGAACTTTCTCATACCGGGTCGTCATCCCAAAAGGATGGTATATGTTTAAGGGTAGACAAGATATGAAGCAGCAGCATAAACATCGCACTGTTTGTTTTGGCTAATTCAGGGAGGAAACTAGTTCAGTCGAGAGATTCTCTTGTAAACCAACCCTTTGCATGTACCGATTTCCGGGAAAGAATGACCTTCCCACTTAAACTCACTTCAGCATTGACGTGGCTGAAAGTCCAACTGTCGTGCAAAAAAAAAAAAAAACGGAACTATCTGGGTCCTTTAAACCGACCTTGAACTCTCGCGGCACACACTTCGTGCCCTTTTGGTTGGTGGGAAACCAAAAGCGGCAGGGGATGTTGCCAAAACATTGGGTGGGCCAGAAGCGCCATTTTCCGGGCAGGAGTCTCATGATCTAAAAATGCCCCCCCCCCCCCTCCCCCACCCCGTTTGGCTTTAATGGGAAGCAAAAAAGTCCCATCGCCAGGTTGTAGTCGTGGATAGTTGTTGAGATGGTCTGTTTTTTTTGTGGGGTATCCCTCTGTTGGGCAATTCATTCGTTCTTAACCCGGTTTTTCAGGAACCCCAACATAGAGCTCAGTGAGAAGGCGCAAAGCCTTTGACATGTGACCAAAACAGAGGTCACCTGAAAAACTGGTTCTCAGCAGGGAAGGAGAAATGGAATGACCATCAAACTGGGGGCTCTTAAGGTTTTTTTCAGGTTCGTGGCCTCATTCCCCACCCCACCCACCCACACACCCACCCCCGCTCCCCCCCCCCCCCCCACCCCCCACCCCCCAACCCACCAGCCCACCCACACCCCACCCAACCCACCACCCCACCCCACCCACACCCGACCCCACCCACCCCTAGAGCACCAGCAAGACACGCCGAGATCCGAAATTTCACCCCGGATTTCTAGGGGTACCTTCCCCATTCTTTCCAGGGATCCTTCTTTTCAGGAAACCATCAAAAAAAACCAGTTGGGAAACAGACCCGGTTTTTGAGAAAAGAACGATGGTTGAAAAGAATGGGCCTGGACCTTTAAAAATGGGTTGGTCGAAAGAATGGGGTCATGGACCCCTTTTTCCAGGGAAGGAGACTCCAGGCAAATCAACCCTTAGAATAGACCACTAAATGAACCATAGACCACCAAATCAACCATACCCTGGGGTCCTAAAGACCATTAAAACAAGAGGCTTTCTATGAACATCCTTTGTTTGTATGGTCGAGGATAGCTGCCTAGTGCCTCAGCCTGTGCTCAATACTGCACGCAATCGCAATCTTCTCGCAATAATGTGTGCATGACCTCGGGGCTCGCATAGTTTTGAAGCCGGTTCGTGGCCAATGTCAGTATTCTTGCCAGAACACGGCTTCATCTTATGTGTGATATTCCGTAACTTGCGCAAAGCAGACTGCACTGTGTGATATGTTGCGAACAAACCAGCTGTGCTGGCCATGCTCGCCAAAAAATGCTGGGCCATCGGCGCAAGGCCGGTGCCAACAAAGATCAATTCAAGTACATGTTCAAATGTCAATTAAATCATTATTGTCATCAACGAGGGGTTCTACGGGACAACCACTTCGCTACATAGCTCTTGCATGCAGTCATTGTGAAGGAAGCACTGCCAGATCTGTGGATGCACACTTGACCATTTAAGAGCAGATGACTGGACTGCTCCCTGCTAGCTCAATGGAAACTTGATGCACAAAGCAAAGAAACACGTCTCCGTTTTGACACCTTCTATCCCAGTTTGGCCCATCTATTCACCGCTTTTACTGTAACTTATCAGGCTTGATCAAGATGCCTGTCTTGTCTGTCCCTTGTTTCTTGCCAGAGCGGCTTCCTTGGGACTCAATATTAGGCAAGGATGCCCATGAAAAAAATGACAACTTACTAGTTATACCTGTTTGGTGAACACAGCCAACACGGCAGGCGTGGGCCGCGAGCAAGGTATCGCAGATTATAGACGTTTTTGGGCATAGGACGTTCACCCCGAAAAAAGGGGGTTCACCCCAAATGAAGGTCGTTCACGGTAGTTTCACGGCAGTTTTACGGTAGTTTCACGCTCCTCGTGATTTCCAAGTGCAGTATTTTTACAGGTGAGAGCGCACGCAGCCTTGTACAAAATCACTAGGCAGGCAAAATGATTCCTTCCACCAGAGCTGAGGCACAGAAAAAAACATTGCTGGTGCATGTGTGCCTTGAAAAGCAACCAATTTTTCGAAAGGTGTGCACTGTGTGGTCGCGCAGCAAGTCGCTCCAAAAGAAATGAACAGCGCACCTGCTGGGCAAAGGATTCAATGATGAGGTGAAATCAGATGAAATCCGGTCAGCGGGAATGCTGCTGGCATACCGTTCAGCTTTCTTCTTACCCGCAAGGAATCCTTCAAAGAATCAAGTTCAGCTGTGCACGATTTCCCCGTCTGATCTATAGGTGCAATCAACCGCAGTCCTTCAAATGAATATCATACAGCACATGAAGCATGTGCGAGCGTGTGACCGCTTTGATTGATGTCTCAAGTGCAGCATGCGCAAACAAGAGCCCTGAACTTGCCAGACCGACCAGACGAAACCTCAGCAAAGTCACTCCTCTCCCTAAATCGGACAGAATAGCTTTAAAACATTGACAGCGAGCACAAGATGACACTCATGCGGCATACATGCCAAGTAGATGATCTACATCAAGAAAGTTGCTCCTACAGGCCACCTCCGCTAAACCTAGTGGAACAAGCAAAAGACGGGCTTAAACGTGGAGCAGCAATATTCCCCTTTGTACGGCTATCAAGAGCAATAAGGCCCGTTCCATTCAGTAAAATCGAGGCACGTGGAATCCAGCAGCTATGGCCTCTGAAAGCAGACACTAGCTAGCGCAACGGCCTTTCAAATCTCTCAAAGAAAGGCCTTTGAGCACAACAAAAGGTCGAGTCCTAAAGACCTTTCTTTTGAAGGTCGCCGAACCCCAGGGCATAGATCTCAAAGCGAGTCATAATCAAAACCCGGTATTAAAATGGTCTACCCAGAAGGAGACTCCAGGGAAAATCAACCCCTAGAAATCGGATTTGCCGCATCTCAGGCCGAAATCGCAGCTCTCAGAGCTTCAGCTCAAGGATAACGTCCTCGAGGCTCGGGACATGTTTTGAGGATGTCCTAAACTGGGTATGTGTGAAAATGGGGGATTCCTCCTCCCTCCAAAACAAAAAGAGAAGAAGAAGAAGAAGAAGCAAAGGGTGGTTTCTTTCAGGTCTCCCATGCACACAAGCCCCAAAAAAGAGGCATCCCAAAAACAAGTGGATCAACCCAAATACAAGAATCGCTGAGGTTGTCACTTCGAACACGGGCCAACTGGCCAGGTGGATGGCGAGCTGTTTTGGGTCACCGTCTGCGAGGTGGACGAGAGAACTGCCGCGGCAGGTCTCGAAGGCTTCTCGCTCGACGGGCGGCGTCTGGAGAACTTTGAGGAATGCGGCGTGAAGGTCCGGTTGTTCGCAGGGGACTATTCAAGCAGATTGAACTGTGCCTCGGTTACGCGGCAGATGGTAGGCAAGAAGACCTCCAGTTGCTGAAAACTGAACGCATTTGTTTTATTTTCCCCTGTTGGTGTTAAAGGGAATGCACCACTTCTGGATTCTTTTTTCCAGGGGGCTCGCCCAAATAGAAGTAGTTGGTTTGACTTTGAATGACCTTTACACTTTAGGACCTTTGGACGTTTTGACTTTTAGACGGATGGGATGCCATGTCCCGCTGGAACCAGCAAGGTGCTTTGGAATTGGAGGAGCTTGCTGCGCCTGTCCCTGAACTGGAACGAATGGTCTTGGATCCAAGCCGTCCAGTTGCCAGCACGCTTCGCGGGTGCGGTTGGCGCATCCATGATGAGATTCCCGGCCCAGTGCAGTCAACCCTTTTCTTTTTATCTCACTTCCTGAGTTCATGAACTTTAAACTTTTTGGGAAGACCATTTTAGTGGTAAATATAAAGTTTGATTTTTGTTTTGGCCATCCACTCAGCAAGTGAGTTATTGGTGGAAGGGTTTCCTTTCACTGGAGGGTCCAATGATGCTTAGGGAAGCAACAAACGGCGCCTCTGATGGAAAGCTGGGCGTCTGAGGATGCTGCCGATCAACGAGGACCAGCAATTGGCAGTGAGGTCACTGACTCATCGCGTGGAACTCATTCACGGGCCACCGGGGACAGGCAGTTGGGCAGAGAACCACCGACCTCTTTCCTTATAGGGACACCAAAAAGGTTGTTCGAACACTCAGGGTTTCTACCTTACTGTAAACAAGTAGGCTAACCATTTAGCCCTGCAGGAAAGGAACACGGGTTGTCCCTTTTTCTTGGGCTTCCCCGCCAAAAAGAGCAAGCATTCAATAACAGGTCTGTTGGCTACCTTTCAGGTCACCAACTGACCAACGGTCACAACTGCCCGGGCTTTAAACAAAGAGGTTTTAGCGTTTGGGTGGGAGGCAGGACCACCCGCATTTTCCGGTAAAGGACAAAAGGAGATGGTTTGAGCAGTATTTGGTTGAAACCCTGTTTTGACCAGGGCTAGTGCCACGTTGAACATCAAGAATGGTTGAAAGAAGGGGTAGTTGAACATATTGAACATACTACCATCAACGGTTGAACATATGATCTTTGTTTTTTCGACCAGGAATAGTGCCCCTTTGCAGGCAAGAGCACTACGATTTTCCACATCTTGAACAACCGTCTGCCTGCGGCGGCTGCAGCGGTGGTCACCTGTGTCACCAACCAGGCCATCGACGCGGTGGCGGAGAAGCTGAGCACGGCGCATGAGGGAGGCGGTCTTTTGGCTGCCCATTTGGGGCTGTGAACACCCCAAAATGGATGGGGGTGCTTTGGTTTCCCAATAAAACCACCCCAAAATGGGTCGGGGTGCTTTGGTTTCCCAATAAAACCACCCCAAAATGGGTGGGGGTGCTTTGGTTTCGCCATGAAACAACCCCAAAATGGGTGGGGGTGCTTTGGTTTCCCCATGAAACAACCGCAAGGTGGGTCAGGGTGCTTTGGTTTCCCAAGAAAACCACCCCAAAATAGGGTTCTTTGGTTTAAACCAGTGGGGGTGCTTTGGTTTCCCGATACAACTACCCCAAAATGCGTGGTGGTGCTTTGGTTTGAAATAACCCAAAAATCATTGGTCTCCCCATAACACCCCAAAATGGTTGGGGGTGCTTTGGTTTCCCCATGAAACAACCCCAAAATGGGTGGGGGTGCTTCGGTTTCCCAACAATTAAAACCACCCCAAAATGGGTGGGGGTGCTTTGGTTTCCCAACAAAACCACCCAAACAAATGGGTGGGGATGCTTTGGTTTCTCCATAAAACCACCCCAAAATGGGTGGGGGTGCTTTGGTTTCCCCATGAAACAACCCCAAAACGGGTTGGGGTGCTTTGGTTTCCCAATAAAACCACACCAAAATAGGTGGGGGTGCTTTGGTTCCCCCATGAAACAACCCCCAAAATAAAATGGGTGGGGGTGCTTTGGTTTCCCCACAAAACCACCCCCAAGTAGGTGGGGGTGCGTTGGTCTCCCCATGAAACAACCCCAACATGGGTGGTCCCCATAAAACCACACCAGAATGGGTGCGGGTGCTTTGGTTTCCCCATAAAACAACCTTACAACGGGTGGCCTCAGTACCAGAGACACCCCCAACCTTGTTCAGCCTTGTTTGGACGTATTTTGGCGTGTCGCCACGCAAGCACAAACATCTGAAGAATTGGGAGGACCCACACAACACTTCTAGCGGAAAATAGGACAATATAAGCCCGGTGCTTCCAGGGAAGCCATTGGTCTCATTTGTCTCAGTGCCGGCGAGGCATTCTTGCAGCATGCTGTCTATCTGTGTGTGTGTATGCGCGCACGGTTGGTTTAGCGTCATTCAGACTTTCTGGTGCTCCTGTGTTTCTCAATCCCCGCCCCCTAAAAATGAAATTAGGGGCGGGGGGTGACCCCTGGAACTCCATTTATGGTTCTATTTTCTCCTCCCCCATTTGGGTGGTGAGGATGTTTCCCTTTTCGAGCAAGTCAACTTGCTCGGGCGCGTCCAAGCCCAGGTCTGAAGATCTTGGTGTTGGGGAACCCCGATCGCGTGGGCAAGACCGCGGGGAAGTACACGCTCGAGCAGCTCTGCCTTCGAGATGATTTAGTGGTGAGCATGAGGTGGCTTTGGCGCATTTTGCCAAGGGATGTTAGGACTTTCACTTTTTGCCAACGAATGGGTTTTCCATTGAACCACTAAAAGTTAGCCACTTGTAGCAGGGGAGCAGAGTTTGCAACCGAGGTGGGCAGCGCAAGTCTTGCACAGAACCTTGAGTTCTCTCCAACTGCTCCAGAAGACCCGGACACATGGCCGGTTGTTTTTGTTGCCTTTTGTATTTTCCTTGGCCTAAGAACCTTGGGCCCTCAAGAAGGCTGGAGTTTGGGGTCCCAACACCCCGCAATGGAGAGTCCACCCTGCTTAAAGGGCAAAGTACTTACCATGGTGATAACTTATAACCCACTTGCCATGGTTCTAAGTCTCCAAAGTGGGGTTATAACTAGGCGTACTCACCACTTACTAAGTACACTGCCCCTTTAAGTGGTTTTCCGAGGAACGAGCGTCTTTGGCGGCCCCACAACACTTCGCGGTTGCGCCTGGCTGACATTGAGAAGCTGCCCTCGGTCCAAAGGTATGCTGAGGAGCTGCAGAGAGAAAACCGCAAGCGACGGCTCAGCGGCATGCCAGAGGAGGCCTATGACCCAATGAGGCTGGAGCAAAGAGACAAATGGGTTGCTGGTCTTTTTGTACGGCTCGCAGCCCTTTTTGGGCGGGTTTTAGAGTGGAACACCAGGACAACCACGAAATGTTGGGGGTCCAGATCCCATGGTGGCATGAACCCAAATGTCAATGAACCTTCTTAAGGGTTGGGGAACCTTGACATTCATGTGTCTTTGGGGTTGGTATCTTGTTTGGTGGTTTTGAAATGTTTAAAAGGGCAACCAGAAGGAAAGCCGAATCCATTTTGGGTAGTCCGAATCCAAAGAAAACACGAGCCAACCATGTTTAAGCTGTTGCTCAGACATCCTCTTGGTGTTTCATGGTGTCACTAGGGTGGTGCCGGCGGTTTTGGGAGCAAGAACGTTGAGACTCAGGGAGGAATTCGAAAATGTTCAAGGGCCTTCAAGCGGCGCAATTGTCCCATTGCGGGATCCACGATACTTAAGAAGCCCAAGGAACAAATGGTTCTTGTAGAGAATAAACGGGAAACCAGAAAACATCTGAGGGTATCCTTTTCTGAGTGGTTTCTGAGGACATGAGAGGGAAGAGAGGGGAGCTGACAATTGACCCCTGAGGTTCTATCTCGACCGGCTGAACGCGAGCAAAGAGAAGATGGCTTGGGTGGTCGTCCGGAGCAGGCCTTTGCGCTATCACAAATTCTGCAGAGGACTCGTCTTTGGGCAACCGTTCCTCGGCATTGCTCACGAACAGTTGTTGCTTTGGCACTGCAAAGCGCATTGTTGATTCCAACCATTGGGAGGGAGTACTAGTTTTGGCACAGGAGCAACGGCCACCATTTCCCGTCGTCTACTAAAATACAAAAGAGGGTGGCATGAGGTGCAGGAGCCCACCAAAACCCAATGTTATTGGGAGACACGTTGAGTATTGGCAGTGGCAAATATCCTTAGCATAGGTGTCCTTTTTGGTTGATTTGGTTTAAACATAGAGGGCGATTCCTGGTTTACCTGGTGGTTCAGTCAACTACCAGGTCCATCTATTTTCCCAAAAAGGACACCTATGATCCTTAGACATCTAAAGGTAGGGGAATTGATCTGACTCCCGGAGCTCCTGGCCTTTTGGGAAGTGTATAGCAGACGAACAGTTTGGATTTGTGCCAATCTCAGGACGCGAGTTTAGCGGGGTTTATGAACTCAATGTTGAGACACGGGTGTGTGCCTTTTTTTTGAGGGGAGCTCTTGTTGTGATGTTAAAGGGAAACCAACTGCAAAACCACTTTGGGGTACAAAACGACCCCCCCCCCCCACAAGCAAAGAACCACAAAGGTTCCGCGCCTTCAACGTGGAGCAGCTCCTTCAAAAAGTGTCGGCGGCACATCGGAAGGCTCAGAGCGCGCTGGCCGTTGCACAAGCCACTGCCCAAAGCCGAACGGTGCGCAACACCCGGGTGTTCTTATGCACCATCCCCTCGGGGTACAAGGCAGGACCAGAAAAAAAGAAGAAGAACAAAAAACAAACACGGCAGCGTGGGACGTGGTTTGGCTTGAAACCAAGCAGCCATGGCTCCTTTTGAGGCGGTCTTTTTGTTGAGGGCTACCCTTTTTGGGCTTGGTTTGAAGGACCAAAGGACAGCCGCCCCGAAAACTGGACAAACCCGCGAGAATGTCAAACTTTGAAGGGAACTAGCAGCAGGTTGTCGGCCGTTGCATGCCTGCGAAGCAGCGCCGAGGGCAGGGCTCCTGGAACACCCCTGTCATCAGCGTGTCAAGCGGCTTTTGACCAGATAGGAAAGTGTTACACACCTTGGGAGGGGCCTCGTTTCAGTATTGTTTTTGTTCTTTTAAAAACACTATGCACTGTTTTGTAGTCTTTATGACAACCCCCAAGCTAAACTCAACGCAATGTTGAGAACTTTTTTTCAAGGAAGGGTCATCCCCACCCCCATTAAAATGGAATTGGGGCAGGGCTGACCCTGGAGATCTCCATTTGTGGCACCCCGTTTCCCCTTTTATGGGGAAGACTAAAATAAAATTAGGTCCCGTTGACCCCTTCCCCCCCCTCACCATTAGGGTAGGGGGGATGAGTCGGTTTGGGGGTTTGAACGGGTCCCTGAGGCCTCGGTAAATGGTAAACTACCCATAACGAACCACCGATTCGGCTCCAAAGCACCAACTGGGGGGAGGCTCAGTGAGTGCCTTTTAGGTACAAAAGCTGCAAGAGGACTTCGAAAAGGATTTCCCTGGCCGGCTTGTGATCAGCATTCTCGACGAAGCCGCGGCTACTGCCGAGACCTACATGCCTTTGATTCTGCGTGTCTTGCCGTGCTTAAAGCAACGCACTCCCTGAGGTCGAAACTCTAAGCTTTTTGGGTTGACGACCAACAAACAGTTTAGAACAGGGTTGTGGGATCAAGGGGTTTCTCCCCACTTCTGTGATACGAGGGAATCCCCTTTATATGAAGAAAATAGTCTTTGGGAAGCCCTTTCTGTTGTATCACAGACAGAAGTGGTCATTCCCCACAGCCCTGGTTTAGAATGTGTCTAGCCAATCCACTCAGGAGGTGAGGTGATTTATGCGGAGCTAGGCGAAGGACGTGCTGTGCGTTATTCCGAGGAATCGCTTTCACCTAAGAATCAGATACCCCCCTATAGTGAGGACGTGTCCTTCCGGACAGAACAGTATTCATTTAGGCTTCCGCTGCGGTGCTCATCCAATGGGATATCCCCTTTGGCGGGAGTAAGAAATCCAATGGGATTGTTCGAGGCATTATTTGTTGATTTATCAATTCTTGTTTACCAACTTAAACTGAGGTTAAAAACAAAATAACATTGAACTACAAAATGAAGTTTCATTTGTTTTGGGAGAGCCCCCCAATACGACTGGAGTTGGGATCGGTGGGAAACCTGGGAGTTTAGAATTGGTTAAGTGTTGCCTAAACATGCATGAGGACAATAGGAGTAACTAACATAACATATCTATAAGCAATACTGTACCGTAGGGGGAAGGGAAAGCACACACACAGAATCACACAAACACAGAAAGAAAGAAGGAACAGCAAGAAAGAAAGAAAGAAAGAAAGAAAGAAAGAAAAAGCAAAACAAGCAATAGACACAGAGGAGAAACACCCTCCTTTCCCGCGTGTCAGGCATGGGCGTGGAAAACTTGGTCTTGCTTGGGGACCACAAGCAGCTCAACCCTCTGGTGCTCGCGACGGCTGGGGATTGGGAGATCAAGGACTGGGAACAACCAGATTGCAAGTCGGACAGTTTTTGTCTTTTTTTCTCGGAAAATGCCGCTTCCGGGAACTTGTCGTAAACCGAGAAATGTGCTTTAGATTCACGAAATGCGGCTTGCGAAGAAGGACATGTTTAAAATGTGATTTGGAACTCAAGCGAGTACGGCAACACGGATTCGAATAGGGCAGCTGTGCTGTAGACGGACAACATGCACCATGCGCAGTTGGTAAGTGGTACGTATCTCAATCAATATTCATTGGGTTTTATCTATCCTACCTGGTGCCTGTAGGGATACCGTTGAGTGATACTAACGCCTTGGGTTCCTGGACTTCGCTCACTGTTGGTTTTGAACTTTTTTGGCGGCAGACAGAAACAACTCAGACTGCTTTTGGCCCATCCACTCAGGAAGTGAGGCTGAAGCAAAGCACCTCATAGGTTCTTTGGCCTTGGTCAAAGGACAACCTAGATGAAGATGTTTAAACAGTAGTAAAAACTTGCTGACGCAGGTTGGCGTCTCAACCCGAATCAAGGACAAGCAAGTGGACAGAAGCTTCATGGAGCGTGCGATGCAAAGTGGGTGCAACCCGCTGTCCAGTGGCAACCTGTGTTCCTGGATCTTGTTTGTTTTTGGTGTGGCTGACAATAGGGGACCCCGAAAATGCCATTGTGTTTGTGTTTCCCTTGGCTTCTCTTCAATTCCACCCCAAGAAGGGTAGCCTCAGAAAAACCCGTTTGTGGTTTACGATTTCAAGGTTTTGTGTTCAACTGAGGCAAGCTGCATGCTCTGCACACGCAGTACCGCATGCCTGACATTCTTTGCAAATTGGTCTCGCAGCTTTTTTACGGTGAGGCGCTCAGAATCCAGAATCATGCAATGCTGTGATGAATGAAATGTTGCACCTGGTTTAATATCGGTAGTCTGAATTTTGTCAAGTTTCCCCGGCTTAAACACGACCCCCCCACTGTTTCGGTACCATGATTTGTGTCAAGTTCGAACCCCAAAAAATCCCGTTGAACAAAATTTGACTCAACATGCGCAATATGGGCAACTGATTTCTCCTCTCAGCTTCCTGGCTCAGTCCCAGTAGTGAAACTCTGCAAATCTTTGGTTGCTCAACCTGAGACGCTGTGGGCCTCAGCCTTTGTGGCCTTAAACTTGCTCAGAAGTTTGGCCAGGTCTTCAGGTCCTGCAAGCTGAGTGCAAAATGTGTAAACATGCAAGACAAGCTGAGCGCAGTCCTGCTGAGGGAATCTTTTTCTGAAGCTTTCCCTCAGTGTTGACATAGCACCTGAGCGCCTTCCAAGGGTCACAGCTGTGGCAACCTGACTGCCACCTGCATTTGCTGCAGATGCAGCTGCTGTGCTCTATCATCTGAGATGTCATCCCAAGTGAACCTGAGGCTGTTTTTCTTGATCGCAGCCTTAGCAGCCCAAGCTGCTGAGGAGGACTTGTTTTTGGTTGCTTCAAGTGTCTCCTCCGCTGCTGTTTTTATTGTCTGAGCCTTCTCCAGCTGAGCCTCAATGACTTTTTTCTGCTGCTTGAGCTGAGCTTGTCTGCTTTTCTGCTCCTTGGACAAATGCTGAAACTGCTTCAGAAGCTTAGATCTCCATGTCTTAGCCAAGTCTGGAATCCAGAACCTGAGCCATTCGTCCCTTCTGGTTCTCAGCTCGCATTCCATGTAGCTGAGCACATAGAAGCCACATGCATTGCTGCATTTTTCTTAGGAAAACTGAGTTTTTTCTGACAGACTTTGAGTCTAGGCAATGCCAGCCTTTAGCCTTTTGCTCAGCCGCTGCAGACATCTCAGATCTATGGCTGAGACTGTCGTAGAGCCTCCACGTGAAGCCTTCTGTTTGCTCGGTTGCTTCTCAGCAACTGATGCAAAAATAGGCACGAGGGCCTGAGTGAAAGGCTTGACTGCTGCCCTCATGGCTTCTATTCTTTCGTCAACAAGCTCATCAGGGAAAGCGCTCAGCAGGAACGGGATAGATGGGTCCACGCAGTTGACTAAGCGGTCTTCTGGAAAAGGTTTTCTTCACAGCCCACCTTAGCAACTGCCAGCCACTGATCTTCCACTACGAAAGGCTCATCGCCAGCAGGGAAAGCAATGAGCTCATGTGCAGACATCTCATCATCACTGAGAAGAAGGTGTGGCCAGAAGTCAGCATGCCACACATCTCCGTCTTGTTGAGCTGCCTGAAAGTTGGCCACTCAAAAGGCTTGGTGTTGGGCCTGGAACTCAGTGGCCTCACATGCTCCTGGGCAATGCTGTAGGTGCCACTCAAAGTGAGCACTGAGTATCTGCCTTCTGAGTAGCCCTGGGCAACAAATCAGCTCTTGCTCCAACAAGCTTTGCTCATCCTCAGGTGCCTCAGCTGGAGGTGGCAAACGAGGTGCTGAAGACTCCTCAAGGGCTGCAGTCTCATCCTTCTTCAGCTTCTTAGCAGCCTTGTCTGCCTGAGTTCAGCCCTTGCTTCTTAGCCAGTTTCTTTTTGGCTGCAGCTCAAACCTTCAGCTTGCTGACAACTGACATCTTCAGCCAATGCTTCTTCTCTGGACTTGCCTTGAAGCTTAGACTTCAGAGGTTGCACCATCTTGCCTCTCAGCTCACGCCTCCTCGCATCACGGTCTTTGGCTCTTGCTCTCTCAATGTCAGGGTCATCATCAACCTCGTTCTCTTGGTCCTCAGTGGGAGCATAATACTCCCATCTGATAAGCTCAGCCACATTGGCAGCAGCAGTGCTGAGCGACCAATCTGCTGGCAGAGGCTTTCCACTCTCAGTCAACCACTTCAGGCGGTCCTTCAGCCACTCCACTTCAGGCGGTCCTTCAGCCACTCAATCAACTGGAAATCCTGCTTCCCATTTCCAGCTCCAGCTTCTTGGCCCACTGCTGCTGGGATCTCCTCAAGTGTTTTGACTGTTCACTGGTTCATGATTCATCTCGGTAAAGAAAGAATGTGTATTACTAATTACCAATGATATGGTATGAACATATCCAGCCAGGAGTAGCTATTCTTTTGTGTCTCCGCGTCTTTTGCCGCTCAACAGCCTGTGTATGTGTGTGTGTGTGTGTGTGCGTGTCTCTTCCGTTCCCAGCTTTTGGGCATGCGTCAAAACGGTAACCTCAAAATTCGCACACCCATTTTCGTGCGTTTCATCAGCAGACCGAGAAGCCTCTTACCTTGCGGTCACTGTGGTTCACAATTATAGATGTGCCTATTTTATTGGGGCAAAATGAGCTTACCATCACGTAGGTCCTTTACTTGGGGGTCCTTTTTTTTTTCAGCTTTCAAAATTATTGTCGCATTTGCCGCTATGTTAAGATCCGGGGCTGAACAAATCCGACGGGGCAGTCCCTTCAAAACTAGACTTTGTGGAGAATTTACTCCCGTCACATCTCAAAACATCCTAAGCCTTTGCAGACCTGTGTGTCCGTCCCGAAAAACACATGGCTGTGGGTCAAGCGTGGGTCGCCAAAATGACTTGCCCTGGAAAATGGAGACTTAACCCTGCGATCCATTTCCTGGTGGTGACTAAATTTGACCCACACCCAAATCTGAAGTCAAGTGAGGCGGCCGGCTCAGCACGGATTTCTCCGTGCAGATGGCTGGCATGGGCCTGGGGGAGAACAAGGCTTTGGGTGGGAGATGTTGGCGGTGTTGGGAAATGTTTCAGCTTCCATTTGCTTTCATTTGCGGTTTCTAAAGGGTTCTATTTCACTACGGGACACGTGTTATCTTTTTTTTTGAGGGGGCTTAAAGCAAATGGAAGCTTGGGATCCCCTCTGTGGGAGCCCCGGTTTTAATACACCCTTGGTTCGTTAATCTGGAATCTCATTATTACATGATGGTTCGATGGTTCCCTTCGAGCCCATTCCCGACAGTTACCTCAAATGACCCCAAATAGTTTAAACAAGTGTTAAAACGATAAAGCAAGCGGAAAGGAACCGGGAGGCCGGTCGCTCGACGAATTGAGCCCATCTTCGGCGAGCCAGGTCCTGCAGTGGCTCACCGTGAACAGCCGGGAGTTGGAGGTGGGAACGAGTCGCGTGAACTTCGGGGAAGTGGCCGCGGTGGTCTCCTTGCTGCCTGCTCACAATTCAGCTTGTCTCGGCGCCGCGGTTTTTTCCGTGTCCATGGTTATGTCCAGTAGTGAAGTCGATTCTCTTTAAAACCAACAAGAAAGGAAGAAGCATATTCATTTCAGCAAATGATTTGTTTTCAAGTCATTTGCTGAAATGAATATATGTAAATATATATATGTACATGCTTTTCCCTTTCTTGTTGGTTTTAAAGAGAATCAATTTCACTACTGGACATGTTTCGTTTGTTCCAGGCTGAAGCAACTGGAAGTTGTGTGTTCTCCCTTCGTGGGTGTTCAATTCGCCAAGTTTGTAAGTTGGTAGCCTAGGTGATAACCCACTCATAAGCCCACCACTTCCCCAGAATTAGCTCCCCTTTTTGCTTTGTGCTTTTTTGGGGTCCCCTTTGTTGTCAAAAAATGTATTTTTTGCTGGGGTCCTAATTCCAGCCTAGACTAGTGGCAGTCAGTGTGGCGCATCCCATTTGGCTAACCACATACTAACTTGCTGAACACCCAAGTTGAGGTTCGTTTCGGAGTTGTAGTCACTTTGTTGGGAATTGGACCCTCTCTTTCTTTCTGTCTTTCTTTCTTTCTTTTTTTTGGGGGGGGGTGCGGCCGGAAGTTCGGGTGCTTTTGTTTGGCCCGTCCACTCAGGAAGTGAATTCTTTGGGGAAGCCCAAAGCACAACCAAAGCTATTTTTTGGGGGGAAAATGTCCAGTCTTTATTTGTTAAAGACACAAATGTGAAGCTTATTTCGGACGTTTAAACTTTAGAGTTTTTGTGTTAGCCCACCTCGTGTTGATTTGTTCTTGTTTGTTAGTTGATTTTCTTGTTTGCGCGGGAGTGTTCAATCTCCGGTTCAGAGTGATCCATGTTTTTTTTCACAGAGGTGTTTTTCCCCAACATTTGCAAAGCTATGGAGTCTCTGCTGAGATAGGCTCGCAAAGGGGTGCTTTGGTGCAACTTTCAGGGTTGAAAAGGAGGGTTCCGGAGGGTTTTTGGGGCTGTTGGGGACACCTCACCTTCAAGCTGAGGTTGCAGACCAGTCGCGCCTTGAAGAATCCTCGAGAGAACGTGATGATCATCACGCTCTACAAGCCTCAAGCGGCCTTGCTCTCTGAAACCTTGCAGAAGTTTCTACCAGAACGACTCGACTCGGGCAACGTTAAGGTGGCTCGACTGAACCTTGGAATAGGCGCAACTTGGTATCCCCTTCCAGATTTAAAATCCATGCAAGCCCTTATAGCAGGTAGGGAAAACAATGTCAAAAGTGACTCGAGGTGACCTTCAATCACCTGGCAACTTGCTTCACTCCTTCAACTAACCCATTGGAGGCTTGGGAAACCAAGCCTGGCACACCTCACCATCAAATCCAAAGTGGACTGAAGCCGCTTCTGGCCTTCGCGCTGAAGCCGTTTCCATCTTGAACCCTTGAGCCAGATGTGCGACATGCTTGATTTCTGCCCACCTCTTGCACTCGAATAGCTCCTACCACAAGATGATATCCGTGGGGTCGCAAAAATGGACCCAGTCAGGTCTGCTCTGAGCCTTCAAAGAATAACCAAGTCTTAGGGGCCCCCTACCCCATTACCCCTCGAAGGTTCTCAAAACCCTTGCATCAGAACACCATCCAAGGTTCCTTGGGAAACCAAAAGGAAACCAAACGATTTTTGCCTCGGCATTTTGTAGAGGCTACAGTGGTTACCCATTCCTTTCGATCCTACGGGATGGACACCTGGCCTTTGCTTTCCTTGACTGCAAAGAGGGTCCCAGGGATATCCAAAAACCCGTTTAGAGGACCCCCCCTTGTAGACCATGTATCCTGCCAAAGAGCTCGTGCACAAACCCGAATAAAGTTCTCAAGGCGTCTTTAGAGCATTTCCATGCTCTCGCTTGGCTTCCCATTGGCCCATTTGACTATGGCTGAATCCCTTGGCCCTTGGCCCCACCCAGTGGCTTCAACCCCCCAAAGGCTTCGCAGTTGTGAGGTCTTGGGTTCCGAGAGCAACTGGCAGGCTGTGGTTGTCCAAATGGCAACCCCAAAATGGCTGGCTGAATGGAAGCATAGACGAAACCATATGCGGTCCTTTTCCTAGTCTTCTGGTGGTTTCAACATGTTGACTCAACTGGCTGCCAAACAATTGAGGACCCATGTTTTATGGCCTGTTTTGGCTTCCCTTCTAAAGCCTCTAAAACAGGGTCCACCGTTTTGTTTTGAGAAAGCCCCAACTGAGTCTATGGAACCCTCTTCACCGATCGTGATTTCGAGGTTGTCACGGTGGATGCAGCACAGGGCTCAGAGGCCCCACATATCGTGCTGTCCACGGTGAGGACACCACTGGGGCGCCGGGGGGGTCCTGGTTGTCTCACCCCACAGCCCTCAGTTCATGGACTTTCAGCTTTTTGGGTATGGACCATTTTGGGGGGTAAATAAGTTAAGGTTTTTGGTTTGGACCATCTTGGTGGCAAAAAGAACAGTTCAGACTTTGCTTGGCCAGAGCGGACTTCTGGAAGTGAGGCACTCGCCAGTCCACGATAAGTGAGTTGTGGAAGATTCACCTACTCCCATTGCCAAAGTTGTGCAAACCCACGATTTGCAGTTTTGCCCCTTTTTTGTGGTCCGTGTTGAAGGCGGCCTAAGCATAGGTGTCCCTTTTAGTTGATTTGGTTGAAAAAATAGAGGGCCCTGGATTACCTGGTGGTTCAATCAACTATCAGGGCCATCAATTTTTCCAAAAGGACACCTATGGGCCTAAGTCGTTCCAAGCTGCAACTACCCGCTCTTTTTAGTTGGTATATTTGGGAAAGCCTGGCTTTCATGGAAATACATCACTGTTTAGTCAGGGTTCACATCATAGCCAAAGCAAATGGGTTGCTGGAGCCTGGGAAATCAATCACTGGGTTTATGTTGACCTTGGGGAAATGGGGTTGTCTCTTTTAAGTTGTTTTTTTGCATGCTTTAAAGGGACACCAAGAGGAACGCCACCATTTATCGGGTTCCCTAATTTAAGACACACCCAAGTCAAATGGGACCCTGGACTTTGAGCGATGAGCAACTGCCAGGGCCCAAAGTGATCATTGGCCGTTATAGTAGATGGTTCTGTTGGGTTTAGTTGTTGTTTGTTGAACGGGTTATCAAAGTGAGCAAGAAAGGCTTAGAAAGGCTTGCTTTCAACATACTCAGGGGTTTGGCTGATGATGATGATGATGATGATGATGATGATGATGATGATGATGATGATGATGATGATGATGATGATGATGATGGTGATGACATAATGCGCCCAGTTCTACTGCCGGCCCTGAGGGCTGTGCAAACCCTCATAGCCAGTTTAGGATCAAGAAACAGCGAGTGTTAGTCGCTTTTGAACTTTGAAGGGACACCAAATTGAAAACGAACCCTTTTGGAGATTGTCTTGTTTTGGACACGCCACTTGGTGTGGTGTTAACTCGCCCTTGAAAGAGAATGAACTTCCCAATTTTGGGAATCAACCATAGGGTGGTCTGGCAAGGACCCCATTCTGCTTGAAGGAAACTTCAAGGAACCTGACCCTATGGGTTCAATCGAGGGAAGGATATTCCGGGGGGGGACGATTTTCCCGCAACATGTCAGGCGCTTTCTTCGTCCTTTGAGCTAGTGCCGGTTTTTTCGGAGTTGGGTATGGGTCAAAATGAAACCACCAGGAATTGGACCACAGGTTTTAGTCGTTGGTTCCATTTACCAGGGCAAGCCATTTTGGGTACGCATTTTTGACCCACAGCCAGCTAGCCATACATGGTTTGGCAGCCATGAGCCATCCATTTTTGAGTCAGCACATTGCTTGCATCCCATCTGAGAATCACTGGGTCTTCCCGATTCGGGTTGAGAGCCAGTCCTCAAAGTGGCGGGCGGGTGGCCCCTCCGAGTTGGTTTCTATTTGTTGGCTGTTCTTTTGAAAACATAGGGTTCCCATCGAAAAGGTTACATAGCTTGCCATGAGCCCATCGCAGAGGTGACATGCTCTTGCCATGAGCCGCGTTTGCTGTTTTTGGCTTGGTTTTACAGACAACCTTCCCTGCAGACATCTAGGTGGAACCCGAAATTGCCCGTTTCCCTTTGGGAAGACCTAGAAATGTGAACCGGGGACCGAACCCACCTTGTCCGGGTGTCTAGGGGGATAGGTAAAACCCGTGCTTTGCGAGAGCACACTGGTATTTTGCGATGTTTGAACCCATATTTTGATGATATATATACAGGGGTGTTCCTTTGTTTCAGACCGCCAAAACGATGGGGTTCCCTTTGGTTTCCCTTTACAGCCACCCTAAAAGCTGCACCTAAAAGGAAAAAAGCAGAGAGCACAGAGGAGCAACAACGAGTACAACATCGGCTTCGCCTCCAACCCCCGCCGGCTGTGCGTGGCCATCAGCCGGGCGCAGAAGACTTTGACCGTGGTGGGCAATGCCGACGTCTTCTGGAAGCTCGGCCGCTGATAAGTCGCCAGCTGCCTTCGAACGGAAGAAACAAGTGGGTATGGCTCAACCAACCGGTACCAAAATGGAACCCTGGTAAGTGGACACATGGACCAAAACCTGCGTAACGGGTCCCAGTCAAGGAGCTTTTGGAAGGGCAGCCGGGAGCCTTTTGGTCCGGGCCGGGACATGTTGATTCTGCCCCCCCAAAAGATTCTCTTTTTTTAATAAATAAATTAAAAACAAATAAACATGGCTTGTCCAAGATCAGTCCGCAAGACCCTTATGCCAGATCGTGTTTGCCCTTGTACTGCTGTCTGATTTCACATTTGCCGTTTGCACGGCTCCCACACCCTTTGTTGTAAAACAAGTTCACAGCTTGGAACATCACCAAGCCACATTTGAGAAGTGGATCTGTCAAAAGGCAAGAAACCCCGAGGTTTCGAAGGCTGCACATACAAGGCAAAGTCCGGAAGGTGGTAGCGGAAAAGCCTCGGGTCGCAAGATTTCGAATGTGGCAACATTTGTACTCGGGCTCGCACTGGCAAACTCTTCCGGGCGAGCCTGAACGTGAAGGAAGGGTTATGTGAACTCAACCATTGGCTTGGTTTGAATCAAAGGGCTAAGGGTTGAGCCAATCTGGCGAAGACAACATGACCCAAGCCATGGCCCTTTGATCCGGGTCAACCTGAAGGGTTAGTGTGAATCGTAAAGTTGATGTTCTTACGGTTGGCATTTACGTTGTTTCGTCTCAACAAGCAAGACTTCGAATGTGTTTGCAGCAGCCGTGTGTAGAACTGGTTGTGACATTTCAATGGGGACCCTTGGTGGATATCATGTAGGATATGATTCATGCCCACCACTTTCGAGGTGGTTCTGACTCTTAGTTTGTGGCCAACTCTGTCCAAACAACTCTGTCCAAGCATGCATAGAGGCCATTTCAAGGTGGACTTCTGGTTCTACTAGCGCGATGATAAGTTCGACAAGGCCTTTATTTGACAAACACAAGTTCGACGGGGCCTTTTTTGCTATAACCACCATAAATCCAGGTAGTAGGACCAGCTACCATTTTTTCCCTTTTAGGGTTTCTGGCGCTGCTCACTTTCTTCTTTCTTTTCCGTTCCATATCTCGGGCTGGGCCTGGAGGCAGTCGCGGCCCAACTGGTGCCGAGTGGTCGACTACTTCTGGCGCAACGGGACATCACATCCAGCACAGATGCCCGCCTCCATCCTGGAGGCAGGAAGGTTGTTGTTTTCCCCAACAGCTGAAAACTATTCTATACGGGTAACTTATAATTCCATTTTTTCCAGGGATCCTTCTTTCTAGAAAACCTTCGGAAACCCAGGGAAAACGGCCGGTTTTTGAAAAGAACGATGGTTGAAAACAATGAAAAAGGAATCATCCCCCAGAACTATGGTAGGCCCAGATATATGTTTTGAGGTGGTTCACAGCTTTCAGGAAGGGTTCCGGAGGGTTCCACGAATTCCGGGGCTGTTGGGGATACCGCCTCTCTGTCAAAGTTAAACCACCAGACCGGTGTTGTCCACGTTTCCGCTTAGGGTTCCATTTTGGGTACCTATGTTTGACCCACTAACTGGGTCTGTGTCAAAGTGGGAAGAAAAAAACGTGGCCCAAAACTGGTGGCTTTCCTTTGGTTTCCCAATAAACCACCCAGTCCGGGCACCCTCAACACACAGAGCATCACAGAGCTAAGTTGGACTCGGACGTTTGGTTCCATCCTCAAGACCAATTCTTGCTCATCGTGACCCCCCGTGAAAATTTGAAACAGATGGTCAAGGTTCGGAGAAAAACACGCTGATCAGAAGTATGGAGGGTCCCGGTCCACATCCGGACTAGACGAGTTCGATACTTTGAAACCGGGGTCTATTCAAACGACCGCATCAAAGGACCATGTTTGCAGGCGACGGGTGACTGTCCCGTGGCGAAAAAGAACCGCTTTCGCCAGGTGGCGAAGACTCGTGCGGAAGAGATGGCAGAACGTTCCTACCGCGCTCCGAAAGGCAAAGGCAAAGGCAAGGGGAAAGGCGCCTTAGCCCTGATGGATGTCATTTTCGGGTTTAAACCGCCATGAAAAGAATGGTTGGTATATCGGGTCAACCATTCTTTTTATGGGGGTTGACCCCTTGGGATTTGGAGGGGGGGGTTCTCAACGTGGGGGACCCTCAGTTGCCCAAAGCCGACCTTTTGACCTGTTGGTTTTCCTGTTTGGTCCATTTGTAGTCAAACTCCCCCGAAGGTCAACCCTGTATTTCTAGGTGCTTTTCTTTTGGGTTCCCCTTCAAACCAGAGGGGGTCCACTATTTTGAGAACCCCCGCATTGGAGCAGCAAAACCTCATTGGACAGTCATTTGGTGGTTCTACCTGAGTTCCTTTGTGACTGTGGTAGAACCAAAGGTCAACTGGTAGAACGGGGGCTGCCCATTTGCCTTTGACATGTCTATTCAGTACTTGTGCTAAGGGACAATGATCATGTTTGGCGAATATGATCCTATCATTGATGTTTCGGGCGCTATAGCACCTTTAGCAACTGGAAGCTATTTTTACTGCTTTGGTGTGTTTGTTGTTTGTTTTGTAATGAGTTCGCTTTGAAGCCGGGGGGCAAACAACGGTAAGTTATTTGAATGTCTTCCATGTGCTCATTTTTTTGCAAACATCAAAACAGTTATTTCAGGGAACCAAAGCGAATGGATAATGATGCTTTTCTTGTGGGCTCTGCCTCAGCAAACACAAAGAGCACGCTATGTTCTCATTGAAGACCACTATGCGAGTAAGGCGCCGAGCGACGGGAGAGATGTGTGCATCCTGGCAGCCATTATGTTTGCCATGCCGTGTTGTGCTCTTTTGTTCTTGTGCTGGGCATTTGATAAGGCTCTATATTGCCTTATCTGGAGTCTCCTCCAAAACTGTTTTATGTTTGAGGATAGGCTGAACATGAAGCAGGGTCAGACAATATTGTTTGCTGTCCGCCCCAGATTGGGCAAGTCAGGTTGCAATCCTTTGACACGTTGTTTGCACAATTGAGGCACTATGCTCGAGGGCGGTGCAGGCATGGCATGCTATGTGCCTACTTGCACGACTGATCGGAAAAAGCACGCGAGTCACAATCAAAACCCGGTATTAAAATTGTCTACCCAGAACCATGTAAAGAATCAAGAAGGCGGCCGGCGGCCGCAACTATTTCTGGCTGGGACTGCCCCTTACTAACCTTTACCAATCCCCGGATTTTGAGCAAGTGGCTCAAGTGACACGGGCCGATCCAAGTTTGCAGAATTGCATGTGCAGAAAGCAGCTGCAAATTCGTTCAACGATTCGATTCACCTAGCAACCAGAGAGCGAACTCAGTTGTTCAGTGGCATCAATGGTTTTTCCTTTCTTTGGGTGGCTGCCCCACTAAATATGGTCTTCCCAAAAAAGGGTTCCCTTTTTTCCAGGGTCACTGAACAACTGAGCGAAGGCTTCCACCAGTGTTTGGGCCTCGACAGTTGCTATAGATCAATCGATAACCTCGCTCCAACAATGGCAGTTGACAGGGAGGGCTGCTGAAATGGAATGTCGTCTTCCAAGTCCTCCAAGGCAGCTTCCATGGGAGGGTGTAAGGCCAGTCGTGAGAAGCTTTCTTTGGGTCTGCGAGTCAGCCCCCAACTTTTCCAGCGCTTCCACTGCATGGACTCTTCCCTTAGGCGTAGCCGCGCATGAGCCGCTGTCTGAAAAGACACGGGGACTGATGTTCAAAGCTGGGGGGGCCAGCACTCATGAAACGGTCCTAGAATGTCCTAGAGTCATATAGCAACATGTTTGGGAACCACCATACAAGAACATACAAGTTCCTCCCCCACTTCCACTTGCAGGAAGTCTTTGGCGAATCTACATTCATGGAATCGACGGTGGCTCGTGTAAGTCGTGCGTCGAAGTTCGAAGCGCGTTTGTCCACGAATGCGATCCCTTGTATTCGGCGATGGTCCTACTGTTGATCGTAGGAACTGATCCCCGATGCGAGGGCTGACCGAGTGGGCATAGATGGGCTTCCTGAAAATTGAAAAGCCATTTTTTGGATGGGTTGTGGGGCCAAAAGCAAACGCACCCCGAGGGGTCCAACTGATGTTGAATGAAGCGCACTCATTTGTTGCTTTGAGCTCACTTCTTGGCTCTTAAGCATCACTCTGTTGCCCAGTGGTGCCCTTTTTCCTTTTTTGTTGGGTAAGGGTTCCCCTTTAAACTCAACAAACAAACAAAAAGGATTCCCATGGCCACTGGGTATCTGAGATCAAGGACCCTGTCCATTCGAAGTACTGCAAAGATGCATTGGGCACATTCTCAGGCTGAAGCTTTTTTTGGGGACTGGGGACTAGGGCCGCGCTTCTTGGGACTGGAGTTGAAGGGGCCGGTTCTAGAAAAGTACATTGGGACTCCTGAACCAAACCACCGGGCTTTTCTAGGGGGAGGCTCAGAGGACCGGCGGGGGAAACGTGTTGGGCTATGTTGTTGTGCTTTAGTCAGATACATCAAATTCAGGGCGAGTCTCAAAGTGTTTAATTTGGGCAGATTTCAAGAGCAAACGTTGAACACTTGTGAAATTCAGGGCAGGGCAGAGCAATTTGTGAGTGTTTACTCGATTGGAGGTTTGGAGGCCCCGTTTTGATGTTGCTTTCAGGGATCCACCAGGAATCGTCAGCCATTCCGACACAAAGTTGAGTATATCATGAACCTTGTATGATGTAGCATGCTAGTTGTCTTGTAAAGGGAACAGCTAATTTGTATCAAATTTATCATATGTTTTGACAGAGTCCTAGTTCCGCAAGCAGTCACATTGAGAATGACATGTTAGATTTGACTTAGCTAGCCCTATCGTTTTCCCAGCGTCAGGCATAATTAACGTACCAGCTTTGGCGGGTTGCGTAGCGCGACTGCGAGTCAGCTTGTCAATCCGCCAGCTCGTCGACATGTTTTCCTTACTCGGCGAGGTAAAATTCCGGAGCCTGCGCTGGGTTGGGATGTTCTGAGAAATGGTGGGGGACCCTGTTTTAGGTTGGCTTACGCGGAAACCGAAAGGAAACCCACTGACACCCACGATTTTGGGGGGTACCCGACTTTGAAACGTTCTAAGGTTTGATTCCCCGTTCTCTTCACCCATCGTTCTCTTTAGAAACCACCTATTTCCCAGGTGTTTGGCCCATTTGAGGAGAAGGATGCCTGAAGAGAATGGAAAAGGAGGGTACCGCTAGAAACGTGCTCGTCTTCAGGGCCGCGTCCTTTCCTTTGGGGGGGTGCGAAAGGTCACCTGGTCAAATCTGACTGCGTTGGTCGGTGAGTTGCGAGCTTCTTTCGAGGAGGTGCTTTGAAGTGGAAGCCAGAAAGGAAACCACACATTTGTTTTACACATACCTGCCTGTATGGGTGGACACAGGATCTAGTGGATCTATGTGCACCCTTCCCTGTTTGGCTGTCCATCAAATTGGACCACAACTAGGCCTGCTCTTCGCCTGTCGTTTGATGCGGTTGAACTCTGGCATGCGCATCTAATCATATTGCCAACTTACGGAAAGGTACTGAGTACGCGACCCTGTCACCTAGCATTCTCGAATGATTTTGGTTTGTATCAAACTAGAGTTACCCTCTAAATTGTGATGTTCCTTTTGGTTTCTCTTTAAACCCACCCTAAGAAAGGTACCCTCAAAAAGACCCACATAGAGACGCGTACACACACAACACAAAACTTAATATGGTTTAACGGAAGTCGTAGTCATTTTCAGTGGATAGGAGCATTGGGGGTGTATCGATGGTGTGGGTGTCGCTGCTTTCCGTCGGCTATCACCCCTGCGACTTAAATCAGTGAATGGTTGACTTAATTACCTGGTCAGCCAGCAAACTTCGGTCTTGGCGGTTTTTCTCCCATCATTTTACTGCAGGGCCAAAGAGTTTTGCGTTTGTGCGGGGTTCAACCCCCATAAGAATGGCAAGGACCCAACTTGACACATTTTTGCTGAGGCAAGGAGCTTGGCAACAGTGCCGTGTTTGTCGCTTGGCTGTTTTGTACTCGTCTCGGCTACACAGGTTGGCGGTTTGGACACGCGTGTTCTTCAAAGATTTAACTGTAACCTCTTGCTTTGGGACATACTTTGGGACACCATTGACGATTTTGTACTTGTTGGCTGCTTTTTCGGCTGACAGTCCAGTCTGAACTTGAAGGGTACGTGGTTATCCTCCCAACATGGCACCGGTAAAACATACCTGGCAGATTTGTTTCCTCAGGGAGCCATGTTAGTAGGTAGTGTATATGGGTCTGTTTTTTTTTTTTTTTAAGGGAAGCCAACAGGAGAACTACATTTCTCGTGGGGTCGCTAAAAAACCACAGACACATATGGGTGTGGCTCAAAATTCAACCAGAGGGGTTACGCAGGTTTTGGTCCATGTTTCCACTTACCAGGGTTCCATTTTGGTACCGGTTTTTTGAGCCACAGCCATATGAACCATTGTGTGAACTGAATGCCTGAATCCCAGGCTTTAGAACTTCGCTCAGGCAGCTGGATGTCGAGTCGAGCGAAGGGGAGCCCCAGAGTGAGCCGCGAGTGAGTCGCGAGTCGGGAGTCATCCCAGATGATTGCAAACCCGAACTCCAGGGGTTGAATGGTATGCCAACTTTTTGTAGAGCTAGTCGGTACATAGTCGCTGTCCAACAAAGCTCCTTGGGTGGTTGGAGGTAGTGGACACCATAGACAAAAGGATACTTTCTCCTAGGGAAGCGAAGAGAAACACCAATGGGTAATGTGTTTTGACAGATCATTTGGATGCAACACATGCGGATAAGGCGCCCAAAAAAAATATTCCGTGGAACCTGTACAGTCGGGCTGTTGACTTCTTGTGCTCTAGTTTGAGCTTTGAACATTGCAAGATATTGCAAGTCAATAACTAGATGCTTTGTGATTGCTTCATGTGCACTGCTTGATTAAATCGAGCAAATCCCTCCTATCCGATGTCCACACGGACGGTCCTTGCACCAATGGCCACATGTTGTAACATGTGTCTGAACAACGCAGCTCAAAGCGAGCTCGCCTGGAGATAAGAAAAGTCCTTTACTGGGGGGTCCCTTATTTGCAGTTTGCGGTCTGGGAATTTCAGCAACTGTTCAAGGAGACAATCCAATTATCCCATTGCGAAGCATGTCTTTGGATCTTGGGTCCAAATGATGCTTAGGACCTTTAAGATGATGACAATCCTTAAGCACTATTGGTAGTTATATTACTTCAACCATTGCGTCCCATTGTTTTGGTGGCCCAGGGGGAGGTTGTGTCTTTTTTGTCCGCAGCTGCCATTGCCAGCCGGCTCTTCTCGCTTCCCTTCCGACCCCGCATGGTCCCAGAGGCTCCGAGAGCTTTTGGCGCGCATGCGCGCCGTCCTCAAGACCTGCTGTGGCTGCTGCTACCCCAAGAGCCCGAAGAGTGCGGAAGAAGATCCGCTGGACCCAACCGCTTCTTGTCGATTAGGGGGGTTCCCAACATACCCTTGCGTCCAAGAAAGAAGCTGACCAGTGTCCTTTAAACCTGGATTTTCTGGTGGGTTTCGTGTGAGTGGCCAGATTGGTTATGGCCATATTGGCCAAATCACCTTTGCCAGTGTCCAAGGCTTCCTGATAGGTGACTTTTAGGTCTATCCTTCAAGGAACTTCTGATGAACGACATCGGGTTTCATCTATTGCGATTTTTGGTTTGGATTCCCATCAGCCACCCGGGTAACCGCGGCTTATGTTCACGACTCCATGTGGAATTGTGTTTTTGTACTCTGTTTTTGTGGTTTTAAAAGGAGACAAAGGCAAACGACCCAAAATGGGGGTCCCCTAAACAAGACACCCCATGTGCAAAAAGCGGGTGGGTGGGACCCGGATGCTGGAGATCTCCGGTTCCGTGCTCCGGGATGAGCGAATTCCCATGCAGTTACCCGATTCGACTCCGCCCTTGGATCCGTCTACCCTTTTCTAGGGTAACTCCAGCAGTGGGGTCAAATGACAAGCACAATGCGCGTGACTCTTTAGGGAAAATAGTGGTTCTCCTTTTGGCTTCCCCTAAACCAGCAGAAGAAAAAGGTACCCTCAAAGAAGACAGACCCAAATGTGTCGATTGGGATTGACAAGCGAATTTTGGGTCGGAGGAAAGCCAATGCGACTTTTGGACAGCATTCTCAGTACCACCGCGATTCATGAGGGTAACACCGCAGAAGTCTGGATCCAGGAACACCGGACATGTTGGGGGGTACTATAGGTACTATAGGCGCATAAATACATATACATATATATATATATATATACATGTATATATATATATATGCATACATATATATATACACATACATATTTGTTTTTTTCGCATATTTCTTCATTTTCCTCTTCATTTTCCTCTATGGTCCTCTTCATGTTGCTTCATGTTGCAGCGCCTTCAGTAGGCTGCCCGAGAGCTTGGACATACTACGGCGAGACACCAACTAGTTGTGGAGGGGTTCGTTCGATGTGGTTTGTTGTCGGCTGACCTAAAGACGTTTCTTTACCGGAGGCATGTTTTGTTGGCAAATCAATGTGGTGTTTCATCCAAGGACATTGGTTTTAGCCTTTTTTCGTTTCAAGTGGTGAGTCTTCAAACTCCCAACCTCACAACTGCAGGTCCATTTGCCTGTATTACACGCAAGGGACCCGCCCATCGAAATGGAGCCAAGTTGTTTGCCTGGCGAGTCCGACAAGGTGACCGAATCGATTTTTCCATTTTTTGGACCTCTTGGACGGCATCTTTCCACCTAGAAAAGGTGATCGAGTTGCTCAGAAACCGTGGAGCCTCCCAGTCCAATCAAAGCCCTTGGTAGACGAAGGTTAGTAAGGGAGAATCCCTTGCCATACATGGGTGCCTTCACCGCCTTTTTGATTCTCTAGATGGTTCTGGGCAGACTAGTTTGATACTGGGTTTTGATTCCGACTCAGTACTCAGGGATCGTGGAAACATTGGGTTGACCAACACTCCACTTTGAACAGCCCAGTTAACAGGAATCCTGGCGGTTCAGTTGAGGACTAAAAACACATGGATGCTTTCCAGCCTACGATCTGGCAAGGCTGTTGGGCGCTTCGATGAGGAGAATCCCAGCGATGCGACACAGAGACAAACCTACAGGCGATTGCGGGGTTCGCTGCAAGCATTGGGGGATTGCCCAGGAGTGATCTACCGCTTGATTTGAGAGGAAGCCCAAAAGGAAGGCAACCTTTAATACTTGGAGTGTTCCACCAAGTTTGCAAGTTCTTGTTCGCCCGACCTGGGCTGGATGCCGGAATTTTCTTCCAGTCTGTTGGGGTAAGACCAGGAACTTGAGAGCAAGCAAACAAACAAGCAAGCAAGCAAGCCAACAAGCAAGCAAGCAAGCAAGCAAGCAAGCAAGCAAGCAAGCAAGCAAGCAAGCAAGCAAGCAAGCAAGCAAGCAAGCAAGCAAGCAAGCAAGCAAGAAAGCAAGCAAGCAAGCAAGCAAGCAAGCAAGCAAGCAAGCAAGCAAGCAAGCAAGCAAGCAAGCAAGCAAGCAAGCAAGAAAGCAAGCAAGCAAGCAAGCAAGCAAGCAAGCAAGCAAGCAAGCAAGCAAGCAAGCAAGCAAGCAAGCAAGCAAGCAAGCAAGCAAGCAAGCAAGCAAGCAAGCAAGCAAGCAAGCAAGCAAGCAAGCAAGCAAGCAAGCAAGCAAGCAAGCAAGCAAGCAAGCAAGCAAGCAAGCAAGCAAGCAAGCAAGCAAGCAAGCAAGCAAGCAAGCAAGCAAGCAAGCAAGCAAGCAAAAAAGCAAAGCAAGCAAGCAAGCAAGCAAGCAAGCAAGCAAGCAAGCAAGCAAGCAAGCAAGCAAGCAAGCAAGCAAGCAAGCAAGCAAGCAAGCAAGCAAGCAAGCAAGCAAGCAAGCAAGCAAGCAAGCAAGCAAGCAAGCAAGCAAGCAAGCAAGCAAGCAAGCAAGCAAGCAAGCAAGCAAGCAAGCAAGCAAGCAAGCAAGCAAAGCAAGCAAGCAAGCAAGCAAGCAAGCAAGCAAGCAAGCAAGCAAGCAAGCAAGCAAGCAAGCAAGCAAGCAAAGCAAGCAAGCAAGCAAGCAAGCAAGCAAGCAAGCAAGCAAGCAAGCAAGCAAGCAAGCAAGCAAGCAAGCAAGCAAGCAAGCAAGCAAGCAAGCAAGCAAGCAAGCAAGCAAGCAAGCAAGCAAGCAAGCAAGCAAGCAAGCAAGCAAGCAAGCAAGCAAGCAAGCAAGCAAGCAAGCAAGCAAGCAAGCAAGCAAGCAAGCAAGCAAGCAAGCAAGCAAGCAAGCAAGCAAGCAAGCAAAGCAAGCAAGCAAGCAAGCAAGCTGGAGAGATCGTTGGCAGCTCTCATGAAAAACACTCCCAGGTGCGAGGTGGTTCTGCCAGAGGCGGTGCTAGCAGAAGGCGCCGAAGTGCACGGCTTCCATTTGCCCGCCTGGACGGAGCTGCTCAAGGCATTGCCCGGTCCAAAGTCCGTGCTTCGGCTTCCACTTGCGCTCAATCATATACATATATTGTAATATTTGGTGGTTCTAAAGGGAAGCTATCATTACAGAGTTGTTGTTGTTTTTTTCATTTCTTTTCCGCTTCCCCCCCAGTTGCAGTTAAGAATATGTTGTGTCCTTTGTCTTGGTTCTAAAGGGACGCTATCACTACAGATGTTTTCTTGTTTTTGCAGGGGATTTGCATAAGCAAATGGAAGCCTGCAGCAAGCGTGGAAAAGTGGTTTGGAGTTTCCTTTGAACTCACTCCCTGAGTTCATGGACTTTGGTCACTTGTTGGGTTTGGAATAGTTTAGCGGCAGACAAAAGGTTCGGTTGCGTCTTTGGCTACTCATGAAGTGTTGTTTTCATCCTTCGGTTTCCTTTGGCTTCACATCAACCCCGAGATTGGTGCCCTCAGTTTGCTTGGCTTAATCAGCTCCTGAAGTACTTACCTCTTAAAAACACAACTTTTCAACTTTTTGGGGGTAACATGGGCTATATGTCTGTAAAAGATGAGAACTTCCCCAGGGCTTGGAGTTTTAAGGGGTAAGAGCATCATTGGACCCTCGATTGGACCTCATTTCAAGGGCCTTTTGAGATCCACCTGGCGTCTCCATGACCCATGGAGACTCCAGGCAGGGCTACCAAACAATTACTGCCTGTGGGGGGGGGTCAAGATTCTCTCCGATCGATCCGGTCGAGAGGCAGAGCCCGCCAAGTGCCCCAGCCTCAGCAAGTGCCTGAGCTGAACAGTTACCGCCCCACTCTTTAGTTGATTGCGATTGGGTAACGGACCTTTAGACTTCAATTTTTTGGGATTGTAAGGGTTTTCCTTTGAACCCACAAACAGTTACACTTTTTGCAGAGGATGTTTATTTCCCACTATTGTTGGCAACCAGGGGAAACCACAACATAAAGCAGGTAAGAATCCCTGGTTATGTACTGTGGTTTCTGGAGGCACCAGGAATCCTGCCCCCTGATAGGTTGCTTTCCAAGCAACAAATCACAAGTTTTACAGGGCGCCCAACAATTTTGACAATCATGTTGGGGACATATGTTTAATAATTAGGAAGACTGAGTCCGGTTTTCGGCGTCCTTTTCGACTCTTGTCCAGTTAAGTTCCCCCCCTGTCCGGGCCCAAAAGCCGTTCAAAACGACGATTTCCGAGTAAGGAATCCAAACAGCAGACATTCAGTATTTGACATGTTTCGGATGTGTGCTATTTAAGTATTATTGGTTCATTTTCGAGATCAACATGGGTGCCCTGATGCGACCGGAGTTCTGAAGGGGGAAGTCGCCAGGGTAGTATTGGTTTGGCATTGTATTGAGGACTTTGGGATTTTGGAAGAACGTTCCTTTGTTGCGAGAGGGACCTTTTTGATTCAGAACACGGGATCCTGGAAAGCTATGTTCCTCTAAAAGTGTTTGGCCTTCAACCAGTCGTGTTTGCATGTGTGTTTGTGATGGATGTTATTGAACCTTTTGCCTTCGTCGGTGGTGGCGTGTACTTGCTTGTGTTGGCTGTGAGGGTTGCTCAAGCTTTAGTGTCCTTTAAGTTGTAATGCTAGGATATATGTGGGTGTGTTTGTTTAGGAGGGTACCTACATGCGTTTGATTTAATTGTTCAAGCTTTCGCGAAACGAAAGGGACATCACCCATATTAGAGCTTCGACAAAAATCGAAACTCCTCTACTTGTACGTGTGTCACGCCCATTGAGTGTCCCTTTCGATTGTTTCGCCCAAGGGAAAGACACCTTTTGGGATGCCCCAAGAAATAACAAATGGGTGTTTCTCAAAATGGTGTTCATCCCCTTTTTAGTTGAAGGGAAACCTACCGAAACTTAGCCGACCCGGGACATTTGAGCAACAAATAGGCTGAGTGATGCAGGTGCCCGAATGGCTGTCAAATAACCCCCCAACATAGAGGGGTCGCTCTTATCAAAGCATTCGTGTGCACAAGCTTTCCTTTCCAAAAGTTGTCCAAGAGTTTGTCCACGGGCGCATCATTTTCTGAGGGCCCCGAAAATGGGGTTGATTCAGAGTCCAGACAGACCCTAAAGGACAACCACCTATGTTGGAGAATTCCCTTTTCTTGTCTGGTTTTGCAGACGGGAACCCCCTGATTTGGGGTGTGAAGGGACACTTTGCAAAAAGACGACGCACACCCATTTAAGAGTGCCCTTATTTAAAGCCTCAGACTGGAGGGTAGACTACCTACCTGTTGGGGGACCCTGGTGCCAAGGTGAAGGTCCCCGAAAAGCGTCCGTGTGAAGGGTCGAATTTCATAGCCCTTGGTTGCCCTTGCTTCATACCCTTACACCCTTGTTCATACCGGTTCCTTAGACAGTTTTGGATACCAAGTTGGATACCCCTTCTTCATACCAACCCACTTAAAGGGTAGATATAGTCCTGAGAGGATATGGTATGGGTGGCTTTTGGGTTCACAGGGGTATGCAAGAGGGGCACAAGCGCTTGTACCCGAGTGTGGGGTTGGCTCCAAGCCACCCAGAGCCGGGGGGTCCGCGGGCTTCAGGATGCAGAAGGTGGCGCTGAGGGAGTGGCTCCCCATGGCGGAGTGGCTCAGGAGAGAAGGCGGGCGGGCAGAAAGAACGCGGAGAGCGTCCCTGGAGCCTGGAGGCTCCCCTCTCTGACCCTGAACAAATGGGGTCATGAGGGTCATGATCCAACATGAAGGGGTTATGACCCCTTTTTATTGGGTTAGAAGGGGACTCTAGTTAGTGATTTCAGAAGGGGCCTGTTCAACAATAGTCTGATCTGGGATTTCGGACAGGACCTGTTGTTTTTGAGCAGACCTGTTGAAACAGACAAAACAAATGTTGGTCCCTTGCAAACCCAGGGGTCCTCAATTCAGGGACACTTCGCCCAGACTCGTGGGGCTTTGGAAGTGAGTCTTTGCTTTGCAGGGAAAAAAAACGGATTTATCCCGTCCTATGTGGGGGCTGTTCCTGTCCAAAGTGGTGAACCCCACTAAAAGGAGACACCCCCAATCAAAATTAGCCCAGGCTTCTGCTCAATCCGGGGTTTCCATTACCCTCCCTTTAGGGATCCCTTTGATTTCCAAAGCATCTTGGGCCTTCAATAAGGCTCCGCCTTGAGGTCCCTTCAACGGAGGGTCCACGGTATACGAAGTTTTTGGAGCGGATCCGAGCCAAAAGCAGCCCGGTGCTACCCTTCGAATTGCATGCCACTCTCCTGGCTATGAACATTTAATCGGGAGAATGCAAAAAGTGGTTGATGGACATGAATCACCGAAATGATGTCCACCAAAGGGTCCCCCATTCAGATTCACACCTTCTTGTCTTCAACGCTTGGAAGCTTGGTATGCATCAAAAACGGGGAGGGGGGGGGGGCAACTCCCAACAATGAGTGGTTACCTTTTTGCATTTTTTAGCCAAGCTGAAACAGGTACCTTCAAAAAATGACACACTCCCATATGGCCATGGGTCAAAATCCAGTCCCAGTGAACATCCCAATCCCCACTAAAATAGACTAACATGGGTGGTGCACCTGCCCCAAAATGGCCCCATTGGTTTTGACCTGGACTGGGGACCCGTGCTTTTTGCTTTGTCCAGTATGAAAAAATGGAAGACTAAACTCGCTCCTGAGTTCCTGGACTTTAAACTTTTTGGGGTTTCTGGGTGTTGCTCTTCAGAACCTCCATTTACTGAGGTATCTCTTAGTTGGTGGTTTGCACTGGCGGTTTGGATGTGAACCCTGGTTCTTGTAGAGGAGCTGCCCACCACCGAACCGCCAAAACCGCCAATTGGAGGGAAGCTGACGTTTAATACTTGGGGACCATGTCAGTGTGGCGCGCATGATGCTAAGATTCGTGGCTTCCAGCTCAGTCCGACAAAACAAAACGCTCTACTCGAAGAACAACTTGTTTGAGGGGGTATCGATGTCAATCCTCCACTAAACAGAGAGGTGCTTCCTACGGAAGACCGTTGGCTCTTCGACAAATCCCAACGACATACCAGAATACTTGGAGTAGGGGGCACAATGAGACACGTTTTTTTTGCGGCAGGCGTTGACGCAGAGCCCACCATCTTCGCGGGCATGCCTGACTCCCGGAATATCAAACAAGGCGGGTGCGCCTTTGGCCAAGACAAAATGTTTGTCCAAAATGCCTTGTTGTAGACCATTGATTACTTTAATTTGGTTAAGACTATGTCTTGTTGTGCCCTGTTGGTGTTAAAGGGAATCTATCACTGCTAGAAATATGTTTATCTTTTCTCGGGGTTTTAAGCAAATGGAGGATTAGGTTTGAGAGTTTTCTTGCTCTAAACGATTGTCAAAGTTCACGGGCCCGGGTAGAACATCGTTAAGCAGTTCACCTTAGTTTCCCTTTACCAGGGACCGAATATCTATCTCATTTTTTCCACTCGGATTTCTGCAACCCGGAAGGCCGCGTCACGGATTGCTCCCTGATGTCCGTGCTATCAGTTCTGGCTGAGTACGATCAGCGCTGGAAAACGTCCATATTGAAGAGTAGCTCAGCTGGAAGCCAACCTTTTACGCCCCTGCAAATGAACATGAACCCCAAAGTGCCATCATTGTTGAGAAATCTGCTTTAAGCCCTTGCCGTTGTTAAGTGTTATCTGAATTTACAGGAGAGAAGCACTTGCTTCCCTTTCCGGTTGCCCAAAAAAACACAAGCCGTTTGTTTCCAGATCCTTCGGTAAGGCATTCTTCCTTCCAAAGTCGGAACGACCAGCGATGCTGCATATGGTTGCTGCCTCTTTGTGAACGGCCTGACTCGGCGGGTGGTGGTGGATGACCTGGTGCCAGTGGCATCTTCTGGCAAGCTGCTCTGCGCGCACTCGGCGACTCCTCAAGAGCTCTGGGTGCTTCTCATTGAGAAGCTGGGCTTTGAGCGCCCAAACCCTTTCCATCGGCAGGGAATGACCCAGTCGTGTTGGGAATGAGCCGGATATTTGGGGATTCCTGAATACAGGAAACCATAGGCGATGGGTTGTAGGGGTCATTCCATTTCTCATTCCCTGCTGAGAACCAGCAAGTTTAGTAGGTGGTTCTACCTGTTTGTGAGGGCCATAGGCCGATACAAATGGACCACATAGACTCAAAGGTCAAAACAGCTCTTCTGGGCCGACAGCACAACATCGACCCGGAGATCTCCATAGGCTTTCTCACGTTTTGGTTCCATTTCAAAGGACCATCCCATGGCTGGACCCGTACTCACTCCCTGAGTTTCTGGACACCCCCTACGCCGTGTAAACAAAGTTGCTCGGCTTTTGAAAAGCAGACGGCTGTCGGCAAATACCTCCAAAGCGCGGGCATTGGGAGGGGCACTACTTTCTATTTTAGTGGCGGTAGCAACCAGTCTGGACGTTTGGCCAACCCACGCAGGAAGTGAGAACACTCAACATACCCCAAAATAGAGTGTTTGAGGGTCCAGGTAGATTGAACATCCAAGGACAATCCATGTATTCAATATTCACAAATATTTGCCCACTTCATATATGGGTCACATGTTGGTATATATTACGTACTGTCGGATTGTCTGGGGTCAACCCCCTACTAAAAAGGAGGTATTTACCATGCAAAACCATGTATACATATATATATATATATGTCATATTATGTACATGGAGTTATTTACCATGGAAAGCCAGGTGTTTTACAAACACATTTTCAAAGTGGGAGTGTCTGGGGTCAACCCTCTAGCAGTTCAGCAGTTCTTTACCATGGAAAAACAGGTGATGACAAACAACGCCTGAAATATGATATATATATATATATGCATATATTTGGAGTAGGTTCGCAGGTCGCCAAGCTTAGGAAGGCGGTGGCCATGATCATGGGGGGCTCTTACGCCATGCGGGGCTCCAACCCGGGCACCGACGCCTTCCACCTCACCGGGTGGATCCCAGAGACCTTTCCCTTGAAGACGCGCGGCCGCACTTGGCCGCAAAAAAGCCACGAAGTTGCACAAAACATGGGAAATACAATCAAACACAATGACGTTGCAAACAAAAAAAGACTCACGGTCAGATATCAGCTCGGTGCGAACAATGAGTGGTAACCTTTTTGCATTTTAACCAAGCGGACACAGGTACCCTCAAAAAATGACACACTCCCATATGGACTGGGGACTCCTGGGTACCCGTGCTTTTTTGTTCTGTGCAGTATGGAAGATGGAAGACAAATCTCACTTCCCGAGTTCCTGGACTTTGGCCATTTGTTCAGGGGCTCACTTTTTGCGATCCTGGAGTTTTAGACACTCTTTGGGTTTGGCCCATTTTAGGTAAACAAACAGTTTAGAGTTTTTTGGGGCCATCCACTCAGGTGAGGCTGGTTGCTTCCTGAGTTCCTGGACTTTAGTATTTTTTCGGGTTGGACCATTTGTTGAGGGGCTAAACCAAGAAGTTTTGACGATTTGGGGCCATCCACTCGGGAAGTGAGGCTAGTTTGTTGGTTGGTTGGTAGGTAGGTAGGTAGGTTGGTTGGTTTGTCAGTCAATGAGTTGGTCAGTTTGTCAGTTAGTTTGTTTGTTGTGTGGCGGGCTGTTTGGCAGGTTGGTTAGTTAGTTGGTTTGCTAGTTGGTTGGTTGGCCGGTCGGTTGGTTGGCTGGTTGGTTGGTTGGTTGGTTGGCTGGTTGGTTGGTTGGTTGGTTGGTTGGTTGGATGGATGGTTGGCTGGCTGCTGAGTTTGTTAGCTTGTTAGTTTTTTAGTTTGTTGGTTGGCTCGTTTGTTTGTGTGTTAGTTAGTCAAGTTGTGTTGTGTTGTGTTGTGTTGCGTTGCGTCGCGTCGTGTCGTGTCGTGTCGTGTCGTGTCGTGTCGTGTTTGTTTGCGTCTGCCTGTCTGGTTCTTTGTTTGTGTGCCTTTGTGGTGTGCTTCAGTTTGTCATTCCCTTGCCTTCTCTGAAATGCCGCCTTTTGGATTTCCGTTTGGTCTTTCTTCATCAAAGCTGTCACTCCAAACCCGTTTTTCCACTGGCCATTTTAGTAGGTTTGTCAACGTGTTATGGGGTTCGTAAAACCTGTGAAAGCCTTTCCAACCATGTAAAATGTAAAAGGTTCCGCCCTAAAAAAACACATCCATCATTCATATGGAAACAGTTTTTCCCTAAGTTCCGTGTAACGATCAGCTTTTTGTTCCACGGCAAATAGGCTTTTGGGGCCCAAATCCACATCCATACATATGAAAAACAGTTATTTTTCCCGAAGTTCCATGCTCGTTTTGTTCATGGCAACTGGGTTCTTGGGCCCCAAGCCGCTCACCAAACCTCGCCGGACCTTTCGCCGGCAAGGAACGAGGGCTGTGTGGTCACCTCCGAGGCGCCGTGGGGCTTTGGGGCATCGGATTGGTTCGGGGTTTGGATGCTAATGTTGACCCCGGATTAATAAACCCCTGTTTATTAATATGGGGGTGTTCCCCTCCAAAAGTGATAACTCCCCACTATAACAATGGACACCCCCATATTAATAAACAGGGGTTTATTAATCCGGGGTCAACATTACTGTGGATGGATGTGGATGGTTGCGAAATCCATTTCATGTCCAATGACCATGGGTGTGGGTCAATAAAATGGTTGCGAAATCCGTTTCATGGGTAGCAATCATGGCCGAGCGGTTCTTTTTTGGTGGCACGCGTTCTCCATGTCATCCTCTTTGCAGACTGCAAATCTTGACCCTTGCTCATGGCCAATACATGGGTGTGGGAAACTGACCCACCAGGATATGGACCGCCCTGTTTTAGTCACGGCTTTCATTTACAAGGGCAACCCATCTTGTGTACCCATTTTTGACCCACAGCCATATACAGGGTCCTCCTTGAAGCTCGACCCAAGAAGAAACTCATCCGGTGGCCCCAAGGTGATTCTGAATAAAAGGGAACTACTGTGGATGGACGCAGTGCATTTCGCACCACTTTGAAACCATCGTTGAATCCACCGTTTGTGGATATTTACAGGGGAATCGAATCATTCCAGGGTTTCTTAGGTGGTGCGAAATGGAGTTCGGCCATCCACAGTATCGAATCTCATCCGGGGGGTTGGTACAAGGTGGGCAGTTGAGAGCCCGCTTCAGGTTCCTGGAATTCCCTAGAAAACCCTAGAATTCCTCACACTTCCCTAGAATTGCCTAGAATTCCCTAGAGTTCCCCTGGGCTGCAGGGAAGCACCAATCCCATCCGAGAAATAGGCACAAGGGGGCAAGCTGAGGGCCCATTTTCGGGAGCCTTCGGGACCCTCCTTATACCCCTCCGTTGGACCAGCGGCAGCTCAGGAAATCCCGAATGGTTGAATCACAAACGAGGGGTTGGGATTTTCTCCATGGGTTCAGTGCGGTGTTTTTTGTTTGCTTGAAACCCACTGCGAAACGGGGGGGGGCCCGTTTCTTTAGGACACGCGAACGCATTGATATTTTGCTCAATGGAATCGTGAGCTTCTAGTTTCCTCGTTTGGGGTTCCCAGTGTTCCTGGCCCCCGAAGGCGATCACCTTTGATTTCTGTGTCCAAACTGAGCAAATAGAACATGAGCCAGCTCGGAAGGCCGGGTTTGGTCCAAATGTTTGCGTTGGACAACTCAAACGAGGCGTCTCGAGATTCTTGGGGCTGTTGTTTTCACGAAGGGAACCCAACAGGAGCTGGATAGTTTAGATGCTTTGGCGATATATATGTGATGATATGTGCCAAGCCTCGAATTTTATAACCACAACGAGGGAGTGGGAATTCAAAGCTTAGGCCTGCGGAAAAGTCGTTTTGACCGCGCCTCATGTGTGCCACAATCAAAACCCGGGTAGATGCAGGTTAGTGAGGGGTAGTCCCAGCCAGTGCGGGTGCCTTTTAATTTCCTCACTTGGATCCGGGTAGACCGGGTAAACCATTTTAATACCAGGTTTTGATTTTGACTTATGCGTGCCTTCGTATCCCTTCATAGGGGACTCAGAAGATTTGACCCTCGCGAGGTCCAGCCAACACCTATTGGAGTTCTATAGGAGTTGCATCTGAAATGGTCTCGAGTGTTATTAGGTTTGCTAAATATGAACAGTGTCTAATATTTTGCTAAATATGGATAATATTCGGTTTGCCAAGTTCTTCGGCTCTTAGTATGTCACAGAAGCACGTCCTATTTGTTTGGGGGGGGGGGCAAAAGGGTCTATGATTGGAGTCCCAACCTGAGCGGGTGAGCCACCATGAGCGGGGGTTTGGATTTGTTTCCCTACGTGGAACGCAGGACTACCATCCCTTGTATTCTATGTTTCATTTCTATTTCCTTAATATTCTTTAATTCCTCTAGTTTCAAAGGGAAACGATCACTGAAAAACACATATGTAAAAGAAGCAAAAGGCAAAACACACATCCAAGGGACTTTTGCAAATAGAAGTTGTGTTTTGTTTGGGGTAGCTTTCGTGCTTCTTTTTGTTGCCTGACTATGCCCTGTTTATCTTCAGTCGGGGCCAGGCCCGGTTCGAACCTTCCGTTGGATTCGGAAATGGATGCAGGTGCCCCTTTGTAAGTTTAGCCATTTTGGGGGTTCAGCCATCCCCCGTAGGATTTTAGGTGTTTGGGGCTTAGTGGCAATTTCTGTTTAACCCACTAAAAGTTGAACTTCAGCCGGGGATCTGAGGACAGCCCAGTTTAGTGGCGCATCAAAAGTTTGGTTATGTTTGGCCAATCCACTCAATCGGAAGTGAGTAGTGTTGAACTCAGGAGGCATCCCGGCACACACTACATGTCTCTCCCCACTAAAATATCCGAATCTCTTCTTGGGATGGTACTCCAGGATGGTCCTGGAATTGTGACGGCTATTGAGTATAGCTTCACTGCTGTTGGCAGTGTGTTTGAGAGCTGTTTTTGTCTTTTTCTTTTTTGCTTTTTGGCGTTTTGGGTTCTGTTCATGTTTAGTAGGGGCTCCAAAAAGCACCGTTTTTTTTGCGACTGTACCAATAGGTTGAACTGCTTACTAGAACAGTCAATGATTCCGTCGGTTGATTTCTCCGGGTGAGACCCTTCCTGAGGCCGAGTGGATGTCCATTTTCGACACAGCACAGCAGGGCTTCGCCAAGGGCCACTGTGCCTCGGCAAGAAAGTGGGGGTTGGAGTTCTTCGGTTTTCATTTTGCCAAGGGATGGTAGGACTTGAGAACGTTTTGCCAACTAATGGCTTTTCCATATTAAACCACTAAAAGTTAAACTTTTAGCAGGGGAGCAGAAAGCAACCAGAGAGTTTGTTGTTCTTGGTGAAACCCCAGCCATCCCCTCTTGTTTGGTTTCTAGGGTTTAGTGGGGGTTTCCATTTAACCCATCAAAAGTTGAACTGAAGAATGGGCCCTAGGGTTCATCCCCCATTCAAGAATGTGCAAGGAGCCAAGTTAGATGAACCTCGGGGAGCACTGGCAATTACATTAACCCAGCCATTGTTTTAATGGTGGCAACTGAATGCCAGGGTGGAGTCAAGTCCCAAAAGGCTCCATCTGGTGATCATTTGTGACGATACAAGGAGCAGCGTGAAGATCCTTTCCCGTCTTGGCAAGCAACTGCGAGATGGAACGTTTTGAGACAGTCCCAAGCTCTCCGCAAGAAAATATCAACATGACTATGAAGCAAACATAAAGCCGGGTGCCATTTTCTGTTTCAGCCCTGAAGCTCGAAAGAACTTGGACCGTGGGTGCCCCCGTTGAATCTGGTTGATTCATGCGGGCTCCTCATCCTACGTTTATTCTTCTTAGCCCGGTCTTAAGTATGTCCTCTGTTTGGAAATACGGCAAGTATGTGCACATCTCACATGACTCCCTCAGTTCCTGCAAAGAGAAAGTTGTGACTGTGCCAATTCAAGTCGGAAGTGAGCCAAATTAAGCACAAGTTGAATCGGGCCTTTTCCAGTGGACAGTCTTCCAAACCCGAAGCTGTTCTTTTCCATGATTGAGCACAGGGTAATATTGATTGGCCATGAGGCATTTACTGGTCACGACGCGCAAAGGTCACGACATGAGGCTACTGAGATGAATGAAGCAAAAAAAACAAATACAGATTACTCCCCTTCATCATGACCTTCTGACCCTTGCAATATGGGGTCGTTGCCCCTTTCTCCAAAGGTCAGAAGGAGACTCCAGGTACCCTCCCACCAATTTACATGGAACCTGACAGGGTGTCCCTTAAAACGGAAAATGGTCTTCCAGGACCCCCCCTGTCAGGTTCCAGGCTAATGTAGTCGGTTGAGGCCTTGTCACTCATCTGCACTAGGCGTGCTGTGCGTGGGCACCACCGAACTCGCGGATGCTACTTCCAATGAGCTGGCGCTGCGTAGCGGCTACGTCGAGGCGCATAGCCCCAGGGCCCCCCCTTTTAAGTGATGAAGAACACAAGTGCTAAAAATCCCTGGTTTCGGGTTGCACGTTGACCAAGCAATGTTCACCCCTGATTTATCAACCCGCCCTGTTTTCTAGCCCCAGGAATCTGAAAAGCGACCCCTCTTCAGCAGTGTGGTACTGTACTACTCGTTCGACATTAAGTGTGTCGGTCAACCGAAAGACAGAAAGGGATAACCGTCCAGAATGGGATAACTCCCATTGGCCCTTGGATGTTCAAGCTGCTTATGCAGTGCCACGAGAGTTGTAGCGACTGAGTTGGCCGACTTATAGCCACATACCCCACTTGCGAAGCAGGCTGAACATCCAAGTAAGTCCCAAGCCCAGAACTATGCCGGGACCTCGACCTCCCTTCTGGGTATCCCTTGCGCTGTCAGTTCGGCCACCAGTGGTTAGCCCTTTAGGTTTACGTATTGGTTTTCGTTGGTTACCTACTAATGGCAGAGTTGGGAAGGCAAAATTCCTCCATGTTGAGTCATTCCCCTTGACTTAAAGAAAAACAGAACTTGCGGCTAGAAAAAAGGTACGTGGATCCTCTGGCTCCCTTCGGTTTTCGGGTGGTCCTTCATTTTGAGCCATCTCCCCTGTCTTTGGTTTACTTCTTGGTTTACACTGGTTTCCTATGGGAAAATAGATGCATGTACTGGACCGCCATCGCTTACATCATGGAAGCACCATATATATATATATATATGCATCATCGTTTTGTTTCATCGATTTTCTTACAAACCCCACAACCAGCCCTTGCTGGATTCTGTCCATCCACACCTCCCCAAGAGTTTTTCGGACGCTTGGAGGCTTCCAGCTTGGGCTGGATAGAAACAATTGCCCGCATCTAGGAGCTATTAACATGCTCTTCATTATATATCTAAGTTCTTAATGGCTTTCCATACATGCCTACAAAACAGACTTTTGCAGAATATATCTTCTCTAAAAATTCAATCTACAAACAACTAACAACGAAAAAACAACCATACAATTGCCCGCATCTATCCCTGGGCTTATCTGGGCATACCCCCCCTCGATCCGCTCCATTGAGGCTGTAAGCCCCAGCTCTGGCCTGGTGGCCGGTCACGCCTACCCGGTACTGCAGTGCTGCCACATCGACCACCACCGCCTGCTGTGCCTTGGCGGACATCTGAAGACACGGAGGCTATGGACTTTATTCTTGTCTGGACCGGGAAGTCTCACAACTTCTTTGACTTCCTGAGTTCATGGTTTGTTTCCATTTTCTTTTGGGGGGGAAGCCTCATTTGTAGCGGCAAACCAAAAGCTTGGTTACCTTTTTGGGCCAGTCCACTCAGGAAGTGTGACCTGGTTTGAACCCACGAAAAAAATGGCTGTTGCTTTCCGAGCAGGTCCTTTGTGCGCCTGAGGTTCCTCAAAAACCCCTGGGGTCACACGCGCTGGAAGGGCCGCTTCTCGCCAGATGACGTCGCGTGGCGCGAGAGCGAGCCACAGCTGGCAGCCAAGTTGGGCTATGAAGTGGGCGCGGTGGATGACGGCTCCTTCTGGATCTCCTGGGAGGAGCCGTGGACACTTCCATTGGCTGAAATGAATATGTTTTTTTTGCTTCCCCTGTTGGCTTTAAAGGCGAACATTTGTTATTTTCCCCTGTTGGTTTTAAAGGCAATCTCTCACTACTGGAAATGTGTCGATTTGTTTTTCCCCTGGAAATCCAAAGGATCAAACCTCTAGGATTCAAATCCAGGATTTTCAAAGGTTTGATACCAAGAATATTTGTTAATTTCCACTGTTGGTTTTAACGCATTTCCAAAAAGTCGGCTTAAGGGTATGGCTTGTGAATTTATTTTCCCCTGTTGGGTTTAAAGGCAATCTATCACTACTGGATATATGTTTATGTTTTTCTGCGGTCTAACCAAATGGAAGGACATGTTTCCGTAGGGAGGCTTGAAAAAGTAAAGGTCCTTCGTGAACCCCATGGTCATTCTAGAAAAAGACTCTGGCACTGAGTAACAGAGGATCCTTTAGGCATATTTTTGTCTGGATGAAACGTTCAGCCGAGTGTTTCGCTCGGGTTATGACCCGCTAACCAGGTTAGTTCATGGGGACTTAAGAGCAGGTTACCAAGTTACCCACAACGATCCTTTGGGAATGTTGCAGGGAACCCTTGAGGTGTGCTTCTCTGCCCAAAGCGAATCAACCTGACAGATTTAGTCCAGTACTCCAGTTACCAACAAGAGGGCAACATGTTACTTCCAGGTTCTTTGGGCAGGTGAGACTTATCATATTCTCATAAAACTACAAGCTGAGGCTTTTTGTATTACACCCTGGGATCACAACATAACCCGGTTTGATCCGGAAATGTGCCTAAATGGGGTCAATACCCAGTGGGTGTATTCAGGGTGTAATACAAAAGCCCTTAGATACAACCTTTGTCCGTCTATGCCTCATCTGCAGATTGGGGAAGAGGGGTGACTCCAGAAAGGAAACGCCCGTTTAAGGGAGTCCACCTCGTCAAGTAGGATGGTCTAAGGTTACCTTCGGATCAATTGAGAACATGCCTAGAGGAATTCCTCTATACTCCTCTTATCAATCGGAGGGTTTGCATGGGACACCTAAATGGCGGTTTTCCTTGAAGTTTCCTGTTCAAACCCATCAAACCGCCTCAACCTCAAACCGCCCAAAAGCGCAAAAAAGAACGAGCCACCCACGTCAAACCGCACTACGTACGTGGCACTCTTTTAAAGGCGCACAAGCACTCTCTCCAGGCTTCGTGAAAAAGCCTACTGGGGTTTACATCCTCACCACGTCAAACCAAGGCAGAGCAACGCAACACGAGGCAAAACATCCCCGCAGGACGTGCTGCGGCACTTCAGCCACTTCTACATCGCCTGGTCCCCGGCGGCTCTTCAACTCCACGAGCTTCAAGCCCACGGCTGCTGGAATCCCTGGCCCCACTTCGTGCCGCTGAGCGGAAAAACAAATCAGCCCGAGGTTTTTGTGTTTAGCTGCGTGGTTTTTTTGAAAGGTGTCTGGTGATTTTGTGTTTCATTAAAAAAACAAGAAAACAATCAAATGGGTCTGGGTCAAAATTAAACCAGCAGGAATGGGACCGCAGGTTTTAGTCCATGTTTCCATTTACCAGGGAAACCCATTTTGGGTACCTATTTTTGACCCCACTGCCAAATGGCCCGAGGTTTTTGTGTTTAGCTCCGTGGTTCTTTTTGAAAGGTGTCTTTTTGTTAGTTTTGTTTCGTGTGTGTGTGTGTGTGTTTTTGTTTGTTTTGTTTCTCTTTGTTTTGATTGTTTTTTTTTTTTTTTGTGTGTGTGTGTGTGTGTGCGCGTGATCGTTTTGATTCTGCTTTTGTTGGTGTTGTTTGGCTGTATTGGTGGTCTTATTTTTAGCTCCCCTTCTGATCAATTGTGCTTCGGTATTTGTTCGGTGTCCCCTGGGTCCCGTTTGGCGATGCTCGCCTTTCTTTTTGTTGCTTCGATTTGCTTAAGAATATGTGTGTTTGTCTCTGTGTTTGCTCCTGCGTGTTTTTAACGGGAGTCTATGACGATTGAAGATATGTGACTGCTTTTCTTAAGCAGGGGGTTTGTTTGCAAATGGAGGTGTTGCTTTTGTTGTTGTTCTGCCTTCCGATGTATCTGGTAATTATGTCAATTTGGATCTGGGATTCGCATGTGAGATGGTCTCTAGCTAAGGCCAGGTTTTCCCAATTATCTGCGACGTCAAATTATGGAGAAAAAAAACGTGCGTCAGACATTCCCCAGTCATTGGTTGGTTTTCCGAACCGGCCGCAATCAAGAACAATGGAATGGGCCGCAATGGACTGAACATCGTTTAAGTTATTTGCAGTGGCGCATGTTTAATCTCAAACATCGCACGGAAGGGGGGGAGATTACTTTCAAACCCTGGCAAAGACACTGCCAAAGCAATTTGAATGCAAGTGATGTTGGAGACGAAACAAGTTGTTTGTTTGTTTTTGTTTTTTTTCGTCGGGCGCAATGCAGCAAAAAGCCAGGCAAACTGTTTGAGACTCCCACAACTCAATGGTAAAACTCAGGCCGACCGAGCAGGGGCGCATCCTACCATGGCTGGTTTCCGTTGATGAGTTACAATAGCAGCACTCGGAGCCCAGTCGTTCGGTGGAGTCCACTGGTGTTCTCTCTTGTGGTCCCATGAAACACAAGCCCATTCCCTTGAACTCTGTCCGGGCTAAAGATGGCAAGGGGAAGCACGTGAGGCAGAGCATCCTCGCAGATGACACGGACTTATTGGGCTTCAACCCCCAGTTCCACCTGGAACTCTCAGAGCCCTTGCCAGCCGACGAGACCCTCGCAGAACGCGCGGTTACGGTGAATTACGCGCGGCGACGGGCTTGCTTCTAACGCATGTTGGTTCTGACCTTTTTGTGTGGCACCAACCCGCACCAGAATGCAGGGGTTCATTGCAACCTTTTGTTTCTGACCAGAACGTCCCCTCTTACTTCCATTTTCTGAACTTAATATTGATTGTTTTTCCCTGTTGCGCTGTTGGTCTTGAAGGAACGCTCTCACTAGTGGATTTGGTTTTCTATATATATATTTTTTCTGGGGACGAGCTCGCAATGAAGGCTCCTTCTTTGGGGTTCCTTATTTCATTTTGAATTCTCATAGACCCAGAATCCCATGGGAGTAACGGCGATCAATAGATGTCATCTGCGCATGACCTTGATTGTCCACGAACCCCCCAAATACCACCAGGAAATTGGGTTTTACCAAAGTCCAGGGTCAGTTGGGAACAAGATAGATATTGACTGTGGACGGGGAAAGACATGGGTGAACAACCGGGACCCACAAGTTCTGCACAAAGACCACGGGACCACCTCAAGTTACGAGGTGAGAGGCAAAAAGGTGAGAGCCTCCTTTGGTCAGACTTCACTATCCGTTTCGCCCTGTTGCCCTTTGGGGGTTCTATTTGCTTGTTGCGTTTTGCAGGGGGGGGAACTTGCCTGACCACGTGAGACATCTTGAGACCAAGGAACATTGGGATCTGGGTGGTGCTGAGCAGACACATCAAGAGCCGGGAGGACTACAACTCCCACTTCATCTCCGTCAGTTTACACCAGGGGAGGTGGGCCGTTCCCATTCGACTTTTGGAGGATCAAGAAGGCACATCCCTTTCCCACTCAAAGTCTCACTGGGATCATTAATGACTTGCAAGTGACCCAGGCCGAGCGGCGCCTTGGAAACCAAAGGCGAACTGTGTATAGGATAGGATGCCTGGATGCCTCTCAACCCCAGTTTTTGGATAGGTGTCCTGGGATTAGTGGGAAATCAGACCACTCTTGGTGGGGCACACACACACACACACCAATCAATACACAGGCCGGGGTTTATGAATCCGGGGTTAACATTAGTTTATACAATGCCCAAACCCTGGAAGGTTTACAGTACTAATCTGGGCTTAACATTAGCTCATACAAGTATCGCCCAACCCTGGAGGTCCCGAATTTGTTGTCCCAACAACGTCCTGGAGCAGGGCGTCTTCTCCAACGGCGAGTGTGCGTTAGTGACTCGCACAAGCGAATGGTTGGACATGTCAGGTGGGCTTCCCACTTTTAGAGGTCCCCAAAGGTGAGCTCGTTCAGTGGCACCTGCTTTGCCTGTTTGTTTGGTGGCCTTCTCCAAAAGGGCCAATCCCCACAAGGGCTCCATCTCTACTGGTACTGGTTGCAATTGGGCTTATTTCCAGAACAATCGGAGGTGAAGTTGCCCTCCACACGGTGCCCAAACAGAGACCTGGTGCTGGTGGTGTCCCAGCATGGCGCCAAGCGGGTCTTCAACTACACGTTGCAGGCGAGATGGGAAGTCCGGAAGCCGGGCGGAACAACTCGCGACGTTCCTAGAGTCTCCATGACCCCTAGAAAAGGGGGTCACAACCCTGAATTTCGGGTAGTGTCATGGAGACTCCAGGTTCATACTAGTCCAAACCGCCTTGGTCTATTGTGACCGATTTGTCAATCTATGCGAATCGGATTACATGCCAAAGTCGGTTAGCAGTTGAAGTACATCCAAGCTGGCCCAAACCGTTTAGTCGTTGGGGTTATGAGGACACTGTTGAACAGCTGCAGCCGCAAGCCGAATGTGCTGTTTCGATGCGTAATCTGAGGAACCGGAACATGTCCCGGCAGGTACCGTTTTGCCAGTTCCAACAATCATGGAAGCTGACAAGTGGGTGTTGGAAGACTACAATGCTTTAGACAAGGCCCCCTGTCCGCGTCCATAGTTATTGGAACTAGGGTATCTGCATACCTACTTTATGGCGGCGGGGGGGGGGGGGGGGAATGCTCTCATTCGGGTCCTTTGCTTGGGGATCCAAGGCTTATTTCAGGTTTTTGGATTTCTTGTAAAATGTGCAGATTGTGATAACTTATCCACATGACCTTCTTATAACCATGCGGGTTTGCGGGTTTCCCAAAATGGCGGATCCCCTTCTGGATGGTTTTAAAGGGAAGCCAAAAGGAAACCTAAAGCAACCAAGTAAGGGGACCCTTATGATGAGAATCTGCCGGGCCCCAACCAAGTCACCCCCCCCCCCCCCGATTTTTTTCCATTAAGAACAAAGTATCAATAGAACACCGGAGGCTTCCCCAAAAGAAAACCAAAACGTCTTTCATACCCTGTCAGCTTCCATAATTTGGAGGGAGGCATCCATTTTGGGCCTGTATTGAAGGAACAAGGGATTCAATTTATTGGCCCGATAAATTGTGGGCAAAGTTCCACCATATTTTATGGGTCAGAAGGAGACTCCTCCACCAAAACCAGGGCAAACCACAAGGTGATACTTTTTTTAAGTAGAGGGTTGACATGATACCAACCAAAAAGTCAATGTATCCGGGGGTAAGATGGTCATAATATGTCGGTTCTTTCACGCCGTGAATGTTTCTTCCACGGAACTCCGCAGGTTGCTGGATCGATCGAGTCGATTGCGAATCGATGTCAGGTCTATACTCAGGTGCCTGCAAGGCTCCAGGAGGGAGCGGTCGTGCGCGTCACTTTGCGTAGTCGATGTGGAGATTGATATTTCAATTCTTCGGCTCCCAAATATGACCATCGTATTTCTTCGACAAATTCGGGTGTGTGTCCTGATTTTAGGGGCCCTCCTCCCAAATTGGTGGTGTTCCTTGTGGAGTTTCTGAGAAAAAACCCAAAGAAAAGAGGTACTTTCAAAAAGAGATATGCCCATGTAGTGGGCAAGTCGTATTAGTTTTTGTGTGTTTCTTTCTATCGGTCATCCCACGTAAAGGACCATTTGATCAACCCCGCATGTATGTGTGTGTGTGAGCCTGCAGTGCTCCATTTTGTTGATTGCCCCCTTGGGCAGACTTGAGCCCAGGGGTTGTCGGAGGGAAGCCGAAATGAAATCAAAGCTTCAGTTTTCTATCCCGACCCCATTGTGGATAGGGCCGCGTACCTTGAAAATAGGGGCCCCTGCATGTCCATACATTTCCCCTTCGTAGGTACAAGCAAAATACTGTATGGAGTGGGGATCCCCTCTTTTTTCCTCACTTAGGAGTGGAGCTTTGTTGCTTTCTTGCGCCACCTGCAAACAGGCGCATGTTCATCGGCAGTGACTGAACCTTGATCAAAGAGGGAAGTCGTGAGATCTCAGCTTCATTAGCCATGCCATTTAATTTTCAGACTCGAGTTTAGAGTTTGGATAATTACATGACACATGCCACGAAAACCACGACCCATGTTCTCTTTTGTTCTTTTGTGCTCTTGGTTGTAGTCATTGGTTGTTGTAATGGTTGTAATGGTTGTAATGGTTGTGATGGTTGTTTTTTTGTTCTAGTGGTTGTTGTTCTCTTTTTGTGGCAGCTGTCCAACGACCCAAAGGCCCCATTCACCGGGTGAAGCGGTCGGGGGGGGTTCGTTCCAGGAGCTCCCGGCCTTGGTGCCGGAGACCTACAGCTCCGGCGCGGTGCGCTCGGAGTGGACGCGGCGCAGCGCGGGGGGCTGCAGCAACTCAGCGCCTCGCTCAGCGATCCAGATGGCCATGGGGCATAAGCTATGGCTCCATATGGCTCCATATGGCTCCATATGGCTCCATTTGTCATCCAAAATAGGCCATTGGTTTAATGGGGCATAACCTATGGCTCCATTTTGGGGGATGAACGTCCATTTGCCGCCTATTTTGATGTTCACCAGGGGTACAGGGTTCAACAGGGTTTCGATGTTCACCATGCCCTGTGTGGGATCCCGAGATTCCCGGAAAATCGGATTTCGGGGGATGCGCAAAACACTTTGAATGTTTTTTTTTTTGGGGGGGGGGCGATGGAAATGTCCGGTCTCATTGTGAAATCCCGGGAGTCCCGGAAAACGGATTCCGGAAAAGGCACAAAACATGTGCTTGTTGTCGGGAAATGACATGGCAACTCTTTTGGTTCAACCTGTTGGTATGAGGGCAAATTGAAACCAATGCCTTTTTTCTGTTTTGGGGGACCCCGATGTTCATGGCTTTTTGATCGCCTCGCCGCTTCGACCTTTCGACTTTTCCACGCCGAAAGATGATCGATCTTTTATGAAGGTTTCCCTGGCTCTTTGCTTCCACCCTTGAACGCTATCTGGGCAAAGAATGACGTTCCCCTCATTTCCGGCGAGTTGCTCTCGGGTTGTCATCTTACTCTGCTTTGGTTTGGACCTTAAGTGGCACCTTCCCCCATTTCACGAAATCCAAGCCGCCAAAAAAAGCGGCGTGCCTGTTCTTGGACCTGCCGAGGTTCTGGGGACGGAATTCATTCATGGTCCCTAAGATGGGCCCAGGTGGAGTTCTGAAAATCACATTGTTGGGGGTGATGATGCATAGCATTGCAGGGTGAGGCTGTCTATGGAAGAAGACGACGGTTCCGGGATTTGCCTGGCTTGGCCACAGCCGAACCCATAGGAATGGTCCTCTTCACCTGTGGGTTGTGACAAACAAGCCTTTACACCAGGTAGTGGTTTCCCTCGTGACCTGTCCCTTTTCTTGTTGGGTTGCGGAGTTGCGAGATCCAATTGGCGGGCCAGTTTGACGTTGGCGCTTGACATCGTTTTATATCCCATAACCATCTACCATAGCAACACAAATAGACTAAGCAATTGGGGAGAAGGTGTACACCATGGACTCATAGGGGGGGGCTCTCCCCGGATAAGCCCTCCTTTGTGTTTCTGGATATCCCTTTTGCTTTCAGTTGTGCCTCAAGGTTTTACAATGGTTTTCTCTGGTTACCCATGGTCGAGTTGGGAACGATGGCAGAATGAGATCCCCCCCTGGCTTTTTACTGCAAAACACTTGCATCCAGTTGCCTTGCCTGCCTGGAGGGTCTGGGTAGGGGGAGTACTGGACCAAGGGCGTGCTGAAAAGATGGCCGGGTAGACACCGACCACTGGTGCTCGGCATCCCCAAAAAGCATCGGGCGTTTGGGGGTGCTCAGCTTCCCGGGTTAGGATTTGGTCCCATGTACCAAGAACGGCGTGACCAGCCAGCGTAGGAGTCCTTGTTGGTTTTGATACAGAAAAGCAATAAACCGATGGTCCTGCTGGACCTGGTTGTTTCATAATACCAGGACCATCTATTTGCCAACAGGACACACCTAGAGTCTCCATGACCCAGGGTGACAAAGGGTCACAACCCTTCGGGCAATGAGCCCATTTTAAAATAGGGTCATGGGGACTGCAAGCATCTGCTGGGGGCTCAAATCCTGCAACCTTGCAAGGCTTGCCACTGAGGTGTGGTCCTTCTTCCAGAACCCCCAGTGGAGCTTCACGGTGCCCAAGGAGGGTCTTGAGGACAGTTCAAAAAAAACCCGCGCGCGCGCCGCGGGGGGGCGAGGGGGCGATGAATTTGCGAACCCCGAATTGGCTTGGTCTCAAGTCAAGGGAACCTCCAAAATAGCTTGTTTCTTTTCAATTCCCCTTTCAAACAACTCCCAACAAAGGGTGTTCAGACCCACATGACCAAACTAAGGTAGAACATCGACAGAAGGCGTCCTTTTGGGTTTCTTTTTCCAGGTGACCAGGGAAGAGCAGTGGCCCTTGAACGGATCAATGTGCCAGTTGAGCTGAGGCACAGTCAAGAAGACCACTCCTTGAGAGCCAATCAAATCACTTTATATTATGTTCAACACAATGCAAAGTGACAGTAGCACATATCTTTATGGCTATTTTGTAACGGATCTTTGGACTTTTGACTTGTTGGGTGAAACTTTGTGGATTTTCTGTATCGGAGCCACAAAGACTTGAACACCCAATCAAATCACTTTATATTATGTTCAACACAATGGCTAGTTGGTGAAGGATCTTGGGACTTTTCTCACTTTGGGGGAGACACTTTGTGGATTTTCCATATTGGAGCCATCAAAAATGAAAACTGATCCAAGAACAGTCAGTAGCACCCAAGATCAAAGTGAATTCTTGGGAAGCCACCATGATTGATCATTTTCCAACAAATCCCTGGAGAATCCCCGCCCTCTCCCCAACTTTCCCCTTTCAGGGTTCACGACACAAACAGAAGATGTCAATCCTCCATGACACCTCCACACCCGCCGCACGCCCCGTTTCCGGGGGACTTGCTCATTCAGCTGACACTTGAACAAGTCCCTAGTCAACCCTACCCCATTCCCTCCCCCTCTTCGCTTACCTCACCCCCTGAGTTCCCGGACTTCATTTTTTTGGGGAAGACCAATGTTCGTGGTACACAACAAGTTTAGTTTGTTTTTTTGTGCATCGACTCGATCGGACGTGCAGGATCTGATCCTTCTTAATCAGCTGCACTTGAACAACCCCAGTTGGCCCTTGTACCCTCTTTCCCTCGCAATCGCCCTCTAGTCAACCTTATTCACCCCTGACTTCCTGGACTTTAAGCTTTTTGGGAACCATCAAAAGCTTCTGAAGTGTTTTTTGGCGTCCCCCCCCCCATCCCCCCCCATCCCCCCCCATCCCCCCCCATCCCCCCCCATCCCCCCCCATCCCCCCCATCCCCTTTTCTGTTTTTCGCCAGGAGCTGATCCTTTTCCTGGAGTGCCCGGACGTCTCGGTGAACCTGCGGCTCTTCGAGGGCCCCGTGGCGCGCCCCGAGCATCTCCGCGCCGCCGTGTCCAGCGGCGCCTACCGCCGCGGCTGCTGCCTGCTGCGCCTCCAAGATCTCCAAGGCGGACGACCGATTTCCGGGAGGGAACTCGAAAAGCAGGGAATGTGGACACGGGCGTTTTGTTCCCAAAACCACCAGTTGGATGGTTTACAAGGCTCATTTGTTTGATTTCCGAAAAATAACATCTGGACCCTCAGGCGCGATTTCAAACTATGTGATTCAACAAAAACAACATTTTGCTTGGTAGCTCCAGCCATCCGGTTCCTTAGCCTTTTAGCTTTTTAGTGTTTAGTGGTCGGGTTTCCGAATTTCACCCACTAACAGTTAGTGACTTTTAGTGGGGGAAATGAGGGCAGCCCAGTTTTTTGTTGGTGAGATGGGCAGGGAAGGCGGACATGAAGCCAGGCTTTGGTCCCAAAGGAAACCACCAGTTGCACCAGTTGGATGGCTTCTAAAGGTCATTCCCTCATTCCCTGCCTAGGCATCATTTGGCCTTTTGGTGTTTGTTGGCGTTCCTGCCTTTTTGGCCTTCTTTGCCAACGTGTCCGTTTCCCTCTGGACACGCAAAATTGGAAAGAACGCCCTAGGCGAAAAAGACAAACAAGAGGAACACGGTCTCTGCAGTAAGTTACCTGCGGCGTTTCTCGCCGATCTGGTTTGTTTCGCGGGAGGCCACCCGAAAGGGGCTCGAGAGAACGGTTTTTAGCGCGACCAGCTTGGGGTCGGCACGCAAACCCCGTGGTGCCTGCGTCGCGAGCCGTTCTCCCCTTTGAAAATTCACCAGGTCAATCAATGCGGGGTTCACATTTGCAAGGAAGCTATGCGTCATGAGCGGCATGAGATGCTGTGATGGCAGTCCCAAAAATGTCGCTACTATTCCCCTCGATTCGGTTATGGTAACTTCCCTTCGTAATAGAAGTGTATAGCTTTTTAAGCAATTCTAGAATGCGTTTATTTCTGCGCAGGGCATTTTGACCATGGCACAAGCATGGCTCCAACATACGAGGGGAATAATCGCCATGTCCAAATTTAAATGTGTGTTGGGCCCTGCCTTGTCAGCTCGGGCCCCTGTTTTGTTTTGTTTTGTTTTTTCTTTGTCGTTGCCGTTTTGTTGTTTGTCTTTGTTTTCTTCTCTCTTGTTTTAATAAAGCCACTTCTGGGGATCTCTTATTCTCACATCCTTCTCGCGGATTAGCGAGAAGTCAGCACGCACATGCTTCTTACCACCTCGCATCGCTGTGGGTCAAAACCGTTTTGGGATCCCACTTTGGGGTAGGTGCACCACCCATTTTAGAACCTATTTTAGTGGGGATTGGGATGTTCACTGGGGGTACGGCTTTTGGCCCATGGCCACATGGCCCTGAACAGTTTAACGTCCAGAAACTTGGGCCGAGCTGCTCTGAGCATAGAGGTCGTTAGACCGTTTGCAAGTTCAATGGAGAAGCCGTTGCCCGAACCGTCTAAATGGGCGATTCGGTCACATCAAGAACCGAATCGCCATATGTGAGGACGGCCCCCGCACTGGCCGCATCGGAAAAGCTCTGTCCCGAATCCTGACCATCAGATATCAACCGTTGCTGATGTGTCAAAAGCAATCACACTTCCTGAGTGGACCGGCAACAGAAAGTCTCAACTCTTGGTTTGCCACTAAAATGGTCTTTCCAAAAAGCTTTAAGTCCATGAACTCAGGAAGTGAGTAATTCCTCCAAATGGTTGGGCCCCGCTCTAATGGCTTTTGCACATGAGTGCCTTTCACAACTGTTCACGAGCAACAGTAGACAGCAAGTTTTTCTTTGGGATTCAAGCCACCATAAAAACAATGGAGGGGTCGATGTATTACCACCATTGTTGACCTACGTCTCATCAGCTACATTGGGTCCCAAGGCCATTAGTTTTCTGGCTAACTCTCCTCCTATCTGCCCATCTTTTCCGGATGTTTCCTCCATTGCCCTGTTTGACAATCCATTCCTCCATTTTTTCGGGGGTTCCTCCATTTCCTCCAATCTAACTCTCCTCCATTTTCTCCAAACGTAGCGGTTTGAATGGAACCCGCCGGCAAATCGATCTTGACAAGACTTAGACCCAGACTTGTTGCTTGTCACATCTCGATGGTTCGTAACACAGCCGGCGAGTTGAAAGAGAAAGTCATGGAAAACCAACAAAACACAAACACAAACATTGTTATAAAAGCGCCAAACATGATGGAATACAGAAACCGAGCATGATAAGAACACCAAAAGGCCTGGGCTGTCCTTACTCGGGTTAAATAGATACTGGATACCACTACTTAAACCAACTACAAACCACTATATAAATCACGTTCTGCAACGGGATGGCTTGGAAGCGCCAACAGTTATATTGATAAAGCCATCCGGTTGGCGCTTCCCAACGATTGCTAAAACCTCAGAGAGCAAGCCAACAGCTAAAAGCAACGCCCAGATTTGACGTTTGGGTCTGAGTGGCCAGGGTCCTATGTGCTCATCGTCTCCACCTTTCGTGCCGGAGCGCTTCGGCGGAAGCCTGGAAGCGGCGTCTGGGGACACCCACCAGCCCTCTGCGGGCTCAAGGGTTCAACGGGCCCTCAAAAAGGCTCTGGAGGTCTTGTTGGACCGTTCGACCCCCTGCAATGGAGAGTCCGAACTCTGATGCTCAGGGCTAGGGTTGTCAAATTAGATGCAATGTTTGGTACTCCCTCACTGACAGCACGGGGTCTGAACAAATCGGCCTAGGTTTGACACCACCCCCCAATGATTTTAAGCTACGGGAAACGGAAACTCCCGGTATCTTGATAGCTATCGGGCTTTCGGGCTTTGGGGGGTTTGTTTTGCAGCAACCTTGAACTAGGCCTTCGTTCCGGAACCCGTCCATTTCGGTTCCCGGGGGAACTGCCCATTTGGGGAGCCAAAAGTATATCAGTATATCCCCTTGTGTGGGACACTGGTGGAGGTACTTGCCGCTTTTTTCAGGATTTCAAAACAGGTCCCGACTATAAGAACTAGAACCCCCAATCCCTTTCTCCCTGGTGGCTCTCCCACTGGTCCCAAAAGGTGTTCTTGTTTTTTCATAGCAAATGGTTCCCTCGCCAAAAACTGGTTGGCGAACCAGAAGTTCGGGGCTGATTGGAAGGCCTTGCTTCGGAGCTAGGCTAGTTCAGGGTAAGCTCCAAGCATGGGTCTGGCTGTGCTTTGGTAATATTGACCCCGGATCCAAGTACCTGTCCTGGTTTGAATCCAACCACCAAAAGGAATTGGGTCCTGTTCCCTCAAATGAACCTGTCCTGGTCTGAATCCAACCACTTGGAATTGGACACCCCATCTCCCCAACTCAACTGGGGTTCTGCAACAGGGCCTCCTTCCGTCATATGGGGTTGAAACGACACATTTGTCTAGGGGTACCTTCCCCATTCTTTCCAGGGATCCTTCTTTCTAGAAAACTTCCGGAAACCCAGGGAAAATGGGCGGTTTCTGGAAAGAACGATGGTTGAAAAGAATGGGGAATCAACCCCTAGAATTTGTGTCCCCACTTATGGGTTGGTTGACCTGGAAGAAGAACACAAAAAGCTTGAAACTGCTCCCCCAGACCTGGGATTGGTGTTGCTGTTGCTGTTCGGGAAAACGCACAGAGAACGCGGCAAGGTCTGTGCTTGTTTTGTGGCAAGCCTGCTTGAACTTCCAAGGGCCCTTCTTTCAAAGAAGCCACCCCGACCCAGGGAAATGGGCTGGGTTTGGAAAAGAAGGATGATAGCTAGAACAGAATCCAACATCAAGTTCGTTGCAATCGCAGCACGAAATGAGTCGTTTCTCTGAACAGAAGAATTCGTTTCACGATTTTATGCCGAGCTCACTGGGGGAGAAACCAAGCTCGCCATTATGTATCAGCCCGAAAACTTGTCCAGATCTTAATCAGGCGTTGGAGTCATATAAAGTTGTTCAGAATGGTTAAAAATAATGATTTAGGAACGAGGGGATTGAGAGGGATTGACATATCCTCAACACACAAGCATGTAAGGGATCAAATCAACAACCCAGCTGAGCCACACGGGTAGATGAAGCTTAGGGATGCTTTCGCCGGCTGTTTAATTCCTTGCATGGTTCTTGGTAGACCGTTTTAATGCCGATTGGGTTTGATAATGACTCAAGTGATATCACCCCATGTCCGGACCACCACTATACTTGGCGGTTCCCAACCATCCTTTTAGGTTTTTAGGTTTTCAGGATTCATGGTTTTGTGGTTGAGCTTCATTTTACCCACTCAAAGCTCTTCTTTCAGGGGATCTCAAAACAGACATCCCAGTATATCCTAGCTATTGAATCCTTCATGCCAGGTTTTCATTATGGCCTCACCTCCTGAGTTCCTGGACTTTAAGCTTTTTGGGAAGACCATGTTCGTGGTTTGTGGGTTGCTCGTCCTTGTTTGGAGTTACTACCCTTGTTTTGAGCGGGTTTAAAGGAAAACCACAGAGGAAACCAAAGCCGGTCTGTGCCCCATGAAAAGACTAGCAACTTTGGTTACTTTTGTTGGGCCATTGGTTGAAACCTCAAGGTTTGCAGCCCCTACCGGCTCTCCTGGCACTCCTCTAGCCCCCTGGCACACAGAGCGTGAGTCACTTTTTGGGGCGCCTCCGCCCTATTTTTAGGTCGCGCGGCTTCGAAAGGCTTACTCACTTCTTGAGTTCCGTGAAAGCACTTGAGTCAGTTTTTGGGGTTGAGCCCTATTTTAGGTCAATGTTGTCATAGCTGACCCACTCACTTGCTGAGTTCCGTTTCGGGCTTGAGTCACTTTTTGGAGTTGGACTATTTGAGCGGCAAACAAACAGAGTTTGGGACTGTGTTTGGCCAATCCACTCGATCGGAAGTGTGGTAAGGCCCGTGCAAAGCTTTCGAACCATGGAACCACGAGTCGACTTTCACCCGTTTGGGCTTTACGTTTTGGTGGATCGAGCTCCTTTTGAGGGACTTAATTAACAATGAATTTAAGAGACAAGCTCACTCTCACAAAGCCCCGGCGAGAAAGATGAACAAGACATACATGTATCAGCCCACAACACACCAGACGCGCGTGATTCTTGATGACTCAGTTCGGCTTTGGGCTAGTGCAACAAATTGATCAAAGCCCATGTGCCGGTTTGGTGATTTTGCTAGGATATTTGGGAGTGTATCATCTCTGCCAAACAGAAGCCATCGTGATTGATCGACCATATGGGATCGATTCCTGCTTGTCATGCTGCAGAATTTCCGCAGATATTGCAAGCCCTAATATTCATTGGACCCTTCATGGGAGGATTTGGATCTGCATTGAAGGCAAATCAGCCTTGTTGAGTGCCCAAGATTCTTGGAGAGTAGAATGTATGCCTGTCGTAATTCAGTATGCTTGTTGCTTTTCAAGTTCGGATTCTCGCTGAAACTAAGGACCCCTTCCGGTGTCAGGTTGGCTTTCCTGGAAACACACCGTGTTCAACGCATGGCTGGTCATCTTTTGGTTTCCTTTCATTGACCGACTTCGACTTGAACCTTCCCGAAAAGGTGACACATCTCATTTTCTGGGCATCCCCAATTCCACCCGCCTATCAGAAAACCTTGGCGCAGAATCTGCGATTATTCGCATCCGCTTCCCTTAACCGAAACACCGCCTATAAGGTTCATGGACTTTAAACTTCTATTTTAGTGGCAAACCAAACGTTTGGTTCCTTTGTTTTGCGCCGCCAGTCCACTCACCAAGTTTGTGAAGCCCCCGCAAAAAAAGAATGCAAACACGAAGACGAAGACCGGGGGGGGGGGAGGTGCGACGGTGCGAAGTTCGAAGCAACCCGACCCGCGCAAAACCACGAAACCGCGCACCCGCCACAATCGCGCGGAAGTTTTGCGCGGGTGCTCGGCAGCTCGGCGCTCGCTCGGCAGCTCGGCGCTGAGGTCCCGTGAGCCTCGCGCCGCAGCCCCACCCCTTCGTGGAGGGCGCGTTAGCGCATCCCTTGAAGCTCTCGGTGCATAGCCTGCAGCTGGGAAGGCGCATCGAGCTCCAGGCGCGCGCGTTTGGAGCGTCTTGAAGGCGAAAAAAACCTCTAGGCTGGCCGTGTTTTGTTTTTTTTTGGGGGGGGCTGCTGGGAACCCAGTTATATTCAGGTCCAGACAGGTTTTGGTTGGTTTGAGTTGGTTTTTTGGGCTTGGTATAGTGGTTGGCACCTTGGGTTTGCATTTACCCCTTGCTAAAAGTTCAACTGTTGGCAGGGGATCTGAGGACAGTTTTGTTGGGTTTACTTCTCTTACGTGGGGAGTGACCATGATTCAACTGTGCTCTCTTGGCTTTCTTTGTGGGAACTGCCTTTCAAAGAAGTCATTCGGATGACAATTCTTAGAGCGAAAGTCATGGCTTATTTCATGCTGCATAGTCTGAAAACAAGCTGCACTCCGAAAACAAGGGTCAGAACGTGTTCAAGCTCATATCATTTGAAGAATGATTTCCCCAATATGAAATTCAACAAAACATTATAAAACAACTTATTGGACACTGACACAGCCGTCAGTTTCCAACAGCGACTTGCAAACAAACAAACAAGCAAACAAAGCTTCCTTAGGACAACCTTAGCTAGCATCTTAATTCCAATTCTCAAACCCAACATGACGTCAGGGTGCTTCAGGGTTTCCTCCATGTCGGTTTTTCGGAACTCTGCACAAGTGTTTCATTTTCAAGGAACACCCACTTTTCGTAACCCCCGTGCTTTCCCCCCTTTCATGGTTGTTGTTGGGAAACATTTTACATTTTGCTTCTTGTGGTTTAGTGGTTGAAATCCCCACCGAACTGCTAGAATTTAGATCGTTGCTCCCCTTCCAACGTCAACCAAGATTGGCGGGCTCAATAAATTCTCACAGTTGCCAGGGGACTCACTCCTCTTGGGGAACAAGCACTGTGCCTGATGGACAAAATCCTGCACCCAAGAAACCCTGGCAATACCAACAAGCAATACTGTGGATGGACGAAATCCATTTCGCACCACCTATATAAGAAACCCGAGAGTGATGAGTCCCCTGTCAATACCAACAAACCTTATGGTTTCAACCATGGTTTCTTACGTGGTGCGAATTGTTGAGGCTCGTTCGGTTTTTGCCGCACCTGAGAGGTGCGGCTCATGGAGCCGGGGCGTTTCAGCGTGCGCTTGCAGGCCTCCTATGGAGGCGGAGAGATCGAAACACCGAGGGATCGAACCACCAGGGGGAAGCTTCCTCCGAAACAAAACGAGGGAGGCTTCCCCAGTTCTGCATGTCGTTCGTTTTTTTTTGGTTGTCTTTTGTTTTTCCGTTTTTTGTCCGGGGAATCATGAAAGAAGGGACGCAGCGGGATGTTTTGGAAGTAACGGTTGGGGAAGCTTCCGTGTGGCTAATAATATGTGGTGTTTTCCCTGGGTTTAAAAACAGAATCTATCACTACTGCAGTTGTTTTATATTTTCCAGGGGACTTAAGCAAATGGAGAGGAAGCTTCCCCATTTCGACATTATTATTTTCAGCTAACCATCAAACGCCCAAGAAACAACTGGGTTTTGCAAAGGAACAAATGGCGAATCAACCCATACAGAGAAATGAGGAAACTCCATATGAACAGCCACATACATGGGTACCTCTGCGAAAGAATGCTGGTAGAGTGCTGCAAAACATGGGATTCGGACACCCTGTGATGCTTGATCTTTAAACGGAAGCCACAAGCAAACCGTTGCCATTTTCAGGGTCCAAAGTTGAGAAGCATATTGTATGTCCTAGACGGGACACCAAAACGGGATGTGCATCCCAAAAAGGAACCGCGGGATTGGCCGGGGCGGAGCTGCGACAGAAACAGCTACCAAACCGCTGCTGTTTTGGCATGCATACGGCAGCTGAAAGGAAGATTACCAAGAGAAGTTTGTTTCAAGTTGGTTTCCATGCAAATCGGGTAACAGCAACAGTGGCTGGTGGCGAAATCTATTTCGCAGCGCTTTGAAAGAATACATAGGAAACCATGTATCCTGGTATTGACAGTGCAATCAGCAGAAGTCAGGGTTTCAGGGTTTCTGAACGATAGTGTGATTTCTGGATTTCGCAACCATCCAGAGTATGGGAATGCTCCCTCCGAAAGTAAAGAAAGGCTTCCCTTCAATGGGTAGCGGCTTGAGCCAATATCCAGGATACAGGATTGTTTGAGAATGTTGACGGGTACCCTGTAAGGGGACCCCCCAAAGATGCTTCAGAATATGTTTTCTTTCCCCCTTTTGGTAAAGGGAATCTATCACTACTGGATTGTTGTTCATTTTTTCCAGTGGGCTTCAACAAATGGAGGTTCTCCTTTCGGGTTTTCCCTTCGGCGCCGGGCGGGTCACCCGCCTCCGGAGGTCAAGCGCCGCACCTGGAGCTGAGCAGCGCCCACCCCTCGCGCCCGGCGCCCTACTGCGTGCGCCTGCGCGCCAGCGACGCGGATCAGCGCCGAGACCTGAAGTCGACGTGCCGGGCTACAGAGCTGGTGGTCTTCCATGTTTTTTTTTTTTTTTTTTGTTTTTTTTGTTTCCCTGCTGGTTTTAGAGGAGATCTATCACTACTGGAAAATATGTTCTCGTTTTTTTTTCCAGGGGACTTAAGCAAATGGAGGAGATCTTGGTCCCCCAGCTAGGTGCCCTTTTATCGTTTTTTTTTTTTTTTTTTTGGGGGGGGGGTTTGGGTTCCCCTATGACTGCAGAAAAAAAAGAGTTGGTACCCTTAGTCCAACCTCTCGACCTGGAAGAGCTGGTGATCTTTGAAGGGGACATCTTTAGTAGCACCAGAGGTGCCTTCAGGTAGGCGAGAGTATGTCACATCGGACTCTGCCTGGAAATTTCCACTTTGGTTTCAGCCCATGAGGATCCAGAAAACGGGTTGGATGCGATTTTTTTGGATCGATCCACCCCTGCAGCATATTCAAAGAGTACTGAAAGAGTACTAAAAATAAGAACAGGTGAAATCCACAAAAAGCGCATCCAAGCCGTTTTCTAGATGTACAGGCCATAAGGGTCAAGAGGTTCAGACAGCAAAGAGGATCCATGAACCTTCCCCAGAATTCGCTCCCCCCTTTGTTTCCCATTCACCAGGCAAAGGATAAATAAGCAGCCCTTCTGGTCGTGTAGGGAGGCCTCCATTTACTCAGCGGAACACAGCGAATCGACCTTCCCTTTCGGTTTTCCATCTTTGGTTCATGTTTAGTGGGGGTCCCAAAAGGTTAACCTTTTCTCTCCTTTGGGCAAGTGAGTTTGCCCTCCCGTCCATGTAACATGGAACCTGGCAGAGGGATCCTGTTTTGACCATGCTCAATTGAAATGGACCCTCTTGTGGGTGTATGGGTGTCTTTTTTGGAGTCAATCCCACCCATATAATCCCCTGCTGGCTTTGAAGGGAATCAAGTTCAAGCTCCAATGACAAAGGGAATCGAGTTCAATCTGCAGTGGCTGATTGTTTTCTTCCCGGGGACGCCTCCGCAAATGGAGGCCGGTGTCCTCCTTTTTTGGAGTGAATCCCAAATGTTCTGTGAGCCAAGGGAATGTGAGCCAAGTAGAGTTTTTACAGACAGGCCGTTTGAAGTAGGTGTTTAAGAAAGACTCAGGAACCTCGAGTCGAACCACTTTTGGGGCCAAAGTTGTCATCATGGCCTTGCACGGGTTGGTTGCGAGCTCCTCTGAAACGTTTCGGGAAGACCGCTGTAGTGGCAAACAAGAAGTTTATTTTGGCGCATGTTGCCTGGATGTTAGGACTTTAACTTTTTGCCAACCGATGGGTTTTCCATTAAACCAGTAAAGGTTGAAAATTTTAGCAGGGGAGCAGAAAGCAACTGAGTTTAGAGATTTGCGGGCCAATCCACCCAGGAAGTGAGCCATCCGAAAGGAGCTTTTCAGTTGCGTCGTTTGTGCCCTCGCTTGACCCGAGGTACTTTCAGCTCTCAGGCAGGTTTGGTCGACATTTGGGGGTTCATCAATTCCATCCACAGTTGGGCCCACTGACGTAGGCAGCGGTTTTTTTTGCTTACTGGAAATAGCCTCTTATTTTGGCTACTAGTACCCTGCTGTCCACGTTGCCATGGACCGCACCAAAGAAATGGCCGCTGTTCCAGTGAAGCAAAATTGTCTTCCAGCACCCCTGGGTCAGATTTCATGTAGTGGACAGGCCTGGAAGCACTGAGATTGGGCAGGGCTCCTCAAAAGATACATTTTGCCCCTTTGAAACATGGCTTTTTCCACCAACATAAACGGACGCCACCATTTACAAGGCAATGCTCAGGCGTATAATGCATCCGGATCCCTGTTGGGCCACAAGCATCACGCCAGGCGCCGCCGTGATCCTGCACGCGGAGCTTCAGCCCGGGGAGAGCTATTTGCTGTGCGCCCAGGTGCCGCAGACGCGGGGGGGGCGGACTGGGAAGCTGTACATCATCTCGGACCGCCAGGTGGTGGTGGAGCCTCGACAAGTCTTTCTAAGCCTTCCATTGGGTGAAATGAATGTGTGGTATTTTTCCCCTCTTGGTGTTAAAATTGATTCTAGCACTATAATTGAAATATGTTTTTTATTTGTTCCAGGGGATGGAGATTTCTTTTGAAGCACTGCCCTCAAGTTGTTTTGTTTTGTATGTGGAGTTCGCTCTGCGGCTTTTTGGGACACATTTTCTTGGGGCTCGCGCACAAGTTTTGTACGGATTTACCGAAAAGAAACGGGCCCGGACCTGTGGGTGTCCGCGGCTGCCTTCCCCCGCCCCACCCCCCCCAGCAGCCCGGGAGTCCTGGGAATCCCTGCCAACATGCTTCAACAAGGTCCCCCAGTAGTGCCCTTTCTCACCCCTTTTTTGAGGGAAGGTTCCCGTACCAAAATAGACTACAGAAAAAAGCTGGAACCCTTATTCTAACCTCTCTTCTGGAGGACCTGGTCAAAGAAGAAATGCAAAGACACAAGTATTGTCGCGAAAAACTCAGGTAACCAACCCTTGGCGGTTTGGATTGGTGGGTTCGGGAATTTGAACCTCTGGTTCTTATGGAGGGCGAATTGGAAATCACCCTTGAGCCCAAATGCACCAATCCAAACCACCACTCGGAGGGAAGCTACAAACGCCAGAAGCTCTGTGTGAACCTGTGCAAGATAGTACTTTAAACGGGCAATACTCACAAAAAAAGGAGCGCAACGTTTGTTTATGGGTCTTACTTTGGAAACACGCTCTGGGCTTCAGTGTTTGCCGTGCTGGTAGGGTATAGCAAATCCTCGCCAGCCAAGGACAGTCTTATGAGCCCTCGTGGTCGTCGCAGATGAGTCTCCAGAACTATCCTGGGCCAGTGTGAACCGCATCGAATCCGACGATCGAGGAGAAAAACAACCCACCCGATGAAGTGCAAAGTGGAGCCGGCGTTTCGGAGAAGTGATGCAGTATGGCAAGCCTGCAATCTCTGCGAGAAGATGCATGTTTCAGAAGAACCGGATGCAAGCTGCATGCCTGAAATCCACAAAGTGGAATGGGCGAACCAATGACAAGCTGAGAGGCAAAACACGGCTGCTGCGTCATTGTCTGCTGAAGTGTAAGAGTCCTGCCTCCCTAGAGTTCTGCATTGCATTGTTGCCTGGAACTTTCGGTGCGGGCTGCAACAGCAAGACATGTTTTGGTAGTTTCCCAAACAACCATTTCTCTTCAAGGTCTATGAAGATCCATGAAGAGTCCTGCTTGATGGTACATGATAGCTGGGAAACCCATATGTATATACTCGTGTTTGTATGCGATTGTGCCGAGGGTGCTCCCTGCATCAATTGATGGAGAGCAGCGTGCTTGGCGATGTGTTTGACTGGCTCAAGTTGTGTCAATTGTCTGTAGGCTCGCTTTACGTCTCTTTGAAGCCTGGCAGAGACGGTCTTGCAGCTTTGAATTGCTGGCCTCGGGGTCCCGACTCTCAGAATTGACGACAAGTTCGCAACCATGATGCGTTGAACAGCGAACAGTAGGCAGGGGCCTGGGAGAACGTGGCAATGTGAATGGAGCCAGCTTGCGGGAAAGGATCCTGCGGAAATTGGTTTGAATAGCAAGACTGAGGGTCCTTCAAAGGAAAACCTGGCTTCGACATGCTTGAGCAAAGTGTTCAGGGTGCTAATTTCCCGTGTTTTTTTTTCCCCGAGCCTCGCATTGGTGCTGCCCCCTTGCATGCTTAGGCTTGGTTGCCCTTCACAGATCTATAGAGCTATACCCTTTTTCAGAACCATCTTATGCGTTGTAGGGGGCATGCCCATTGAGCTGCTCGCTTCACACAAAACTGGCCCAGGCCCTTCTTTGGGTGCAGCTGACAACTGCGGATGCGGCGGAAAAGGAAGTGCCTGCTTCCAAGGAGGAATCCCTATATGGGTGTGTCAAGCTTTGCATGCTTGCGTGCTTGCTGGCTGGCTTGAATTTGCTCCTGTTTGCTTTAGTAAGCGGCACTCCCCCGAGTGAAATTGGGTTCAGGGCCAGTTTCCACGATACCAAACGCCCACGTAATGAAGCTATGGACATCAACCACGTTGGTATCATACAAAATGGCCTATTTGCTCAGCCATGAGCCCCCTTTTGAATTTGGGTATGTCTCCAAATAGTGGACCCCCAAAAAAAGTAGTGGTTGTCCTTATAGTTTCCCTTCAAAACCACCCCACCAAAGGGCACCGCGCGCTTAGGCTAGCCCAAAAACGTTTTTCCGCAGGCCGAGTCCGAGTCGACGGAGTCATGCCCTGGCTGCGGGCTGCGAGTGGGCGATCTGAGGCGCGGTGAAAAATCGGCCGGGTCAGTGTGACCGAAACGCCCAAGGAAAGGGGAAAACAGGGTTTCCTCCATTTCGTTTTTTGCAACTACCAAAAAATTGCAGTTTCAATGGAAACCGCCAGGGTTTCTTCCATTTCCTTTTTTGCAACCACCAAAATGCAGTTTCAATGACACCAGGTTTTTCCTGGATTTGGTATGGTTTCCCTGTGGAACCCTTAAGGCCTCAGCACGGGGCTTGTCCCTGGCTTTGGCAGGGTTTCTTCCATTTCCTGTTTTGGAACCACCAAAATTGGCGATCGTTTCAATGGAAACCACCATTAATTACATCAACGTTTGAAGGGGAAATCCAGTGGCCCCTGTTGAAATAGTTTATTGTTTTTCTGTTTTTTGTTTTCCAGAGACAAAGGCAAATGGAGGAAAGACATGTTCCACACCCGCTTGCAACTTGTCCTCTAGTGACCGAATCGCCTCGCTTTGGTATCAATGGCAATTCCATAGCTACAAAAGAAGATCGATTTGCCTTTTGCTCAAGTTTCCTTTGAAATCAACGCCAAAAAGGGTGCCGAGTTCAAAACAGAACAATATGCACCCAGTTCTGGTTTGCCCTTGCGAACAAAACGCATAAACATCACATGTGTGGACCTTTGTTCCCCAATTCAATGTTGCAGAGACCATAATTTTGAACCAGCACGTAAAGCGAGGGCATGTCAAGTACTGCGCCACCAAATACCATTTGGGTGACCGGGTGTTTTCCTTTTCAAACTCCTCTTACTCAAACACCAACCAAAATACGGTCTATAGTGTTTGGGCACGCCATAGCATTACTTCTAACCCTGAGCAGGTGTCCGACTGCTCCAGAATTTTCACTCTGCTTACATGATCCAGGCGTCACCTCCAGAAACAACTATACAAGACTCCGGCTTTGCTGTTTCTTTTGTCAACAGGATGACCGAAAACATGTTCGCCCAATCGTCACAGATACTCGAGTCCAAGCTGTTGAGATGGGTTCAAACTTTGATTTGTTTTCCAACACTCAACAAAACAACAAAAAACTAAGGGTCTCGGGCCCTCAAAAAGGCCCCTTTCGCTTTGTGAGGTCCAAACCCTTCCGATGCGGTCCCGACCCCAGTACCTTACCCCCGATTTTGAAGAGTCCCAGTTCAGAGCCCAAGTTCTTGACCTGCCAGGAAGCATATGAAGCGCTGCTGCCCCGAGAAGCTGCCTGAGAGATCCATTGACGACCAGGCACACAGCCTGATCGCTCCGGAGAGAGCGAACATGTAGAGGGCAAAACGAGGGGAGCCTTTACTGAGGGCTCTCTGATTTCCAGTTTGGGAATTACAGTAAGTTGCCCAGATGAATAGCCGAAGACCAGCGGTGTTCTAATGCTGCCCCCGGGGACGATTGCGTCCAAATTCCCCGCAACAACATGTCACAGGCGAATGGGCGGAACATGCAAGGAGGACACATGAAGTCCGCAGCATGCCGAAGCAACACCCTAAGCATCATCATATCCTTTGAACCGGACCACCATTGGCAGGTCTTAGACCTGAAACAAGGCTTCTTTTGTTGGGCAGGTTTTTAAGCCGCGAGAAGCGTCATGAGTCCAAGCTGTGGTGAATTCCTGGCAGGGTTCGCCATACCCTTGGAGGTTTAGATGTTTGGAGTTTAGAGGGATTTGAGGCATGGGTGTTTGTGCTTGGTGACTCCCCTTTTTTGGCTAGTCTTACGGGGAGGCCAAAGGCAAAACCAACCATTTTGGGGTTCCTTCACCCCCCAAAAAACAACATAACAATCCCCCCTTAAAGCCCATATCCCCACAAAATGTCACTTTTGGCCGGTAGCAAACCTTTTGGATCTGAAGACCAGGAGCGCCGCGCGGCACGAAAGGCGGCGAGCCAAGAGGCCCCGTCGTGTCGGGGCGGCGAGTGCGATGCCGGAGGCCGAATTTTGGGCTCGTGTTTGTTTAAGCCCTTTGAGCTTGGTGAAAAAACAGGAGCAGAGTTTTTGCCATTTTGGGTTTGTGTCTCATTTTTGGTCAGGTTGGTTTAAAGTGGGCAACAACAGGAAATCCAGCATTTTGGTCCCAGTCCCCTTATTGTGACGTATTGTGACACGAGTGTGCAGCGAACCATGAATCACCCAGGTGCAAGCTGCGGACATTAAAAGGGTGTCTGAAAAATCGTCGGGCCCCAAGGTGGTTTCGGGCTTCCTTTTTCCCTTTAACAGCGCCCCAACAGGGTGCGTGTCCAAAAAGACACACAGAAACAACTCGTGAAGCGCGCTGGCTTTGTCTTTCAGGCAACAGGCTGGTGCAAGCTCAGTGCAACCTGGACGAACTTCCTGGGCAAATAGTAACACCGTGGTCCGGCAGGCTGAGACATTGCCCGAAATGAGGTCCTATGTCCAAAATCCCAAGTATCCAGAAAGCAGTGGGTGGTGCTGGACCGGTACCTTTCTTTCGGTTGGTGAATTATTCTAGTTCCCCTCCAAATACCAAGGCTCCTGTTAGTTGGTAAAAGCCCAGCGGTTATCCATGGTAAATACCGATCCCTCTTTTAGAGGGCTGACACGATACCAACTAAATTGGTGTTGGGTGTTTTTGTTGTTTTTGTTTTTCTGGTGAAGACCTCAAGAGCAAGCCCAAGGGCGAGGGTTCCATACGGCACACTCTTCGAGGAAGATCAGAGAGCGGGAACCGAACATGTGTCTTAAAATACCCAAACAATGGCTTTGGTTTCCCTGCAGGTTTCCCTTTAAGCGCAATCCCAACAAGTGTTCCTAAAACAAAGAAACAGACCCACACGTTGTTGGGTCGGATACCAACACTTTGCTAATGTTAAGCAGTCGCTGAGACATGTAGAATTTGTCATATTGGACGGAAGGACTCCAACATGCAACAAAGTGAAAATAGTCATGCCAATATTTCACCAGCGCCCTGCGCCCCCCTTACCATCCATCACAAGTGCTACAATCGCATCACCACCGCCACCACCACCACCACCACCACCACCACCACCACCACCACCACCCCTCCGTGGTGCCCAGCCATCCAGATCCGGTTTTAAGGTTTTTAGAGTTAAGTGGTGGGGTTCTGAGGGGATGCTCTTAGCAGGGGATCTGAGGACAGCCCAGAAACAACGGGTAACAGCACCAACCTCGAAGCCGTGTACGACGTTCTTGTTGGGGAGAAGAAGCACTATTCACACTCGATGTGTTATTATCATACGTTGTCCCAGTGATGAAATGTCCCTGTATACTGGGTAACCAAGGGCCTGCCATCCTTTAAAAACCAGCAGGAACTTGGTGAAGGCTTATCTATAGTGGCGAAACGCCTGGCATCCACTGGGAACAATGATGTGTTGTTCCTATGTTTCTTCTGACAGCAATCCACAAATATCCACTTCTTCGGCGCCAATTCGTTTTGCCTTGTTGTTCGGTGGAGAAGCCCCACCAGACACATGCCAACCCCAAAGCAGGCTCCAATTATAGTCTATCAAAGGGGTCACCGGGCAACTGGGTACATATTGTTCAAACAAACATGAGCAAGTAAGATAGACAAACCGATACCAGGGCATAAGGATATAAGGGTTGTCCACGGGGTTGTTTTTTCAACCCATATTGTTTACTCAAAATAATGAGCATGTAAGACAAAAAATCATGTCTTTATCATTGTCAGGCGTTGTTTCATTCATGTTTTTTTTTTGCATCCTTTGAGTTTGATTCTTGCAAGGATGTCCATTGAGGTCACTATCACCAAGCCCTTTGAGTGTCACATGTGCCT